CGGACGTTTCCATCTAACTGTCGTACTGTCCGTTTAGTCTATAGCTATAACGTTGGTCGGGGACTACCACATTCGCTTTGTCGGTACCTACTTCCGACGGCGCATTCGCTGGTAAATCGTGTTTGAAGTTTTCACTCCACCATCTTGTCCGGGGTTACCAAATTCCCTTTGTCGGTACCCACTTCTGAAGCTGTCACGCCATTTTTGTGGATTTCGCTAAAACCCCTCCACAAAATACTAAAAAGTACTAAATTTTTGGGGGACTTCTCACAGCTCGAGCTTCTATTGGCGACACGAGAATGAGAGACCGCGATTCGAGCCTCGAATATTCGCAGCAAAAGGTGGTTAATTTCGCTCCTAGCAAAAAACAAACTTCAGCCACGCAGGACTTGTGCGCGTTTACAAGATCTTTCCGGCGACACCAGTTTGAAAACAATCGGAGTTCGGACCAAAACTATAGAAGAAGATAGGAAAAAATTACCACATTAGAGAGCCACGCTCTGAGATGGCCGCCAGATGTCGCCGACCCCACATCATGTAGCCCCGTCCCTAAAGTTCTTAATACATGGCCCACGTACACTACTCGTCTTTCTACAAACATTCTCTTACGGCCCTCATTTGCTGCTAACCAGCCAGCCAGCCAGCCAACCGAAGTGAGATGAAAAGATACCTGTTTACAAATAAATTTGCAAAAATGCGCTAAAAATCGTCGATAACGTCATCTCAAAGTTAGGATATGCTGTATAAAAATTTGTTACATCAGAAAGAGCGCAATTTAAAATACTAATCGACGTTCCGAGCATATTTCCGAAAAAAAATTTCTTTGACTTACTGAATTTATTCCCAGTTAAGAGTCTCGTACTGTAACTTTATTAAGTTAAGGATCTACGCACCTCAACATGATACGCAAGGAAGGAACAATTTTTAGGTACCAAACAAAGGCAAATTATTTCTTTTACAAAAAGATTTGAGGTTTCTAAGTGACATTTTTGGGGCCTCAAACATTGATATAGACAAAAAATCTCATTCATTTTTAAATTATAGGAAATTAGAGACACTTTGACGCCAATAACCAATCGTCTCACATCGAATGCCCCCAAAAAGAAAAATCTTCCTCACAAATTCAAAAAAATACCCAATTCGATCGGTTCAATAGAATTTTCTTGCTACACTAAAACTGAAATTGTCTTCGTTCAAATCAGATCCAACGATACATCAAAGATATTAATCAATTTAGATTATTTCCTTCAAATATGCGGTACAGTAAACAGTGGGAGGCGATGGCTCTGAAGCGTTTCAAATCTGAGCGAGGCGAGGCGGTGAAGTCGCTGATGCCGAGCGTATGTCTTATCAAAATCAAAAATTGTTATGAACATTAAAAAATCTTACAATTTTTACAGTACTATCTTACTAACAGATTCAACTAACACTAACAAGTTGACTGTGCCCCCATCTTATAGTTTGTGTTATTACTTAATAACAAATAAAAAATTAAACATAATAATAATTATAATAATATTACATTAAAGGTTTCTCTGATAAAAGCAAACAAAATAGGCGTGCCAAAAGACGTAGTACGCATACGCAATAGTCAACTTTCTTATTTGTGGTGGAATTTAATCGAAATTTTGATGGTAGATTCCTCCAATAAAAGTAAATAAGATAAAATGCCAAAAATGGTACATTCTTATTTGGGGAGTCAATTTCATAAGCATTTTTCTGGTATTACGCCGAATATAGATTGCACTTCAAAACTGAAGACACAAACGTAAAATACCACGGTTGATGGTGTTCGTGCGAAGTATGCTCATTTTAGTCTATCAATATATCGGTGCTTTTTTGAGCCGAATCATATTTATTTTTCGCTTTTTTTGCCTGTTAGAATATTCCGACTTAACACTTAAAACAACAACTCTAACTATAACTCTCGCCAGGAAAAATTGCCGGTCACAGAACACTTGATCCCGATCGACAATCCTTGTTTTTGGTAAGGCGCTAACGACTTCCGGGATAGTATCGTGTCAATGTTGAACGAAAAGACTTTTTGTTCAACATTAGCACGATCCTATTCCAGATGTCGCTCGCATCTTAATAAAAACAAAAATTGTAAATCGACACAAGGTGTGCTGTGACCGGGAATCTTTCCTGGCGAGAGTTATACATTTGGACAATCAAGCAAAAAAATGGATAAACGGAAAAACAATAATAAACGGCGATTGGTAATAAAAATGCGGTTAGTTTGTAATAGAATAATGAACCACACATTTTCTGAAAAATCTTTGTTAGATGATATTCCATGAAATGATTCTTCGTTGTATAAAAATATTGTGGAACAATGTCGGCAAGTGTACATAGCTTTAGGCTTACTTGAGATTTTTGGAAATGGGTTTCCAAAAACAGACAGCTTATGAACGTAACCTTTTAATTATAGTATATGTATCCTAGTCCAAGATTACACCATCTACCAGTAAACTGCTACTGAAACTGTAAACGATTCTTCTGCCGCAACATGGGCATATTCAGTTCACCTACCGTTAACATGGAAAGAAGAATTAACGAAGACATACAGAAGCCGAAGATATAGCTTATAAGAAAGGAAGAGAGAATCGCGAATATAGATATGATGGGCCAACAAAAATTGAGTAACTTGAGAAATGTTGAGGTTGAAGTGGATGTTAGAATCAGATGTGTTGCCAGACTACTGCTACTCGTCCAGAAAAAAAACTTTCTGTGGCAAGGGGTATAAGCAAAGGAACAAAGTTAACTGAATACAGGACAATATGGACCAATAGTTTTGTTTGGCAATTTGGCCTGGAAATTAACTATAGTACTCATGAAAAGCGAGACACAGGTTGTGAAAATGAAATATCTCATCAGAAGCGTAAGAGAAATAACATCGTAAGAACGGGATTGGGACTACATACTACAGGCAATTATTAAAAAAAATAGAAACCGCGACAGTGAAGTTGGTTTGGATATCTGAATAAGATGAAGGAAGATAATAGATATGCCGGTGAAGGGAAATAACATTTGAAAGAGCTCTCGAGGAAGACCTACAAAACTTGAAATGGGATGGGGCAAAACAAGATAAAAGAATAGCCGTTGACTGAAATGACTAACATTAATTTCATTATTTCAGACCAGAATGTAATTAAGTTTCTTTTTGATTAGGTGTTACTAAATATGATGTAAATACGGATGGGGCCATTTCTTTGGCTTATTTTATGTCTAAAAGTTCATATAAATATAGATCGCAAACGCTTCGTTACGGATTTACATTAAGGTGTTATAGTTGTACCTACTGTACACTTTTACAATTTAAACCTTTAATTTATAAACATATGCAAAGACAAGATAAAAATTAATAAAAAAAATATATTATCCAAATAAAACCGGGCTTATTGGACCATTTTAAAAATTATACTTTCATTTACCTATCGAAAATTGGTTTTTATTTTTGTTTGTCAATAACGGTTATAGATACGAAAAAATTACAAGGGACTTGTTTCACAATGTACCAGGAGATATAAAGAAAAATCTTAAAAAATATTGTAATTTTAACATCATTTAGATCGGTTAATCGATCATGAAACGTTTGCGGACCTATGCTTTTAGGCATAAAATAAGCTAAAGAAATAGCCTCTTTCGTGTCTACATCATATTTACGAACACCCAGTATAAATTTGAAAAAAAATGGGCTTTCTACGAGGTCTCTAATCCTTGGATGATTAGCAGTATTTTGAGAATTCCACTAAAATTACTTTTATGAAATGTTCAATGGATCTTGGTAATTTTGGGACTGTGATCAAAGTGCCGTTCTGATCATGTTATACGTCGTCATGAACTACCCGGTTAGGGATGTTAAAACGAACCGACAACATTTAGTCTACATACTATCTACTAATCTACATCATTGAGAATTTTGCAATAAACTTTTGAAGCTGGGATTTCCTCCAAATTCATTGAAATGCTGCTTGACCTCCAGTACGATGAATTTGGCGGAAAAAATTATGTGTAGGTAAAAGGATAATCCCAATGGGAAATATCGACTGAATGCATGGATACGTTCGATTCTGCAAAGAATACAAGAATTTCTCATATTTTGCAATTGCCAGTATTGAGTTAAAGTAATAGAACCGATTTTCTCGTTATCATTTTCTCTAATTTCAATTTCAACCACCTGCGCCCTTCAAACATCCCACATTTCCGGTAATTCGATTTCCAACGAAATTCTACACTTTTCCGAAATACAACAATAAAATTATCATAAAATACACCTGCACTCTTTCTCGTACTTACTACTTACTATTTCCTCTAGGGTTCGACTGAATTTTCCTACACCTTTTTACAATTCGTAGACGGCTAATAATACGCGTGAAAACTGCAACGTTTTCGTTCGTTGAACTTGCTTAAATTTATGAGGAAATCTGCAAATAAATCCTATTTCTCTTTACTTTAGGATTAAGCGTAAAAAGATAATTAACTGCCTAGAAACTGACAACAAAATACAACTTTTTCGAAAAAAAACAATAAAACGACTTTAGGTTAACAAAAGGATTTTGGTATAATGATAATGAAAAAGAGCTTGTGGGAATGGAATGGGTACAATTGTTATTTGTTACGTCTGTTCATGACCAGAGGACAATGTACGGAGTTTTCCGCCAAAGCAAATACAATTAATTTATTGCACATCGGGGGAACGTAAACAAAGTATTGGGTAATTACTTATTGCAATTGAATATTAATTTCCTAAATAATAATTGAAAAACAACAAACATCGATGTCGCTGGGTAATAATTATTACTCAAAAATCAGAATCGGAATAACTACGAGAATTTGTTTTTTAAACATTGCATGACTAACAAGAATTATCGGTTTTTCGAACGCTATCGTAAAGAGCGTTTCCCCGGGTAGCGCCCGGGTATTCCATGAATTACTTGCGTTCTCGTGGACCGTCTCCCACTTTTCCACTCAGACGGTATATAAGCGGAGCGTAACGATTGTGACTCACAACATTTTAAACGCTCAAATAGTGTATATCGTGGATATTGTTCGAAGTCTTGTATTACACAACTTGCGTAATTAATAACAAATAAATTGTGAAGTGATTTTAATTGTTTTTGTGGAAATATTGTGAAGTGAATTTTCTGAAAAGATCAAAAGTGCATAACCAAAGAGGATTACTTTATTCCCACGTTGCTAAGATGTGTATATCAAAAGTGCAACACCCCAAGTGCAAAATGCTAAACAGGTGTGTAAAAGCTCCTTCTTCGTCCTGACCCCGAAAAAGCCCAGGGAATAGTGATTCAAGGTACTAACGGACAATGTCTTATTACAGAAATACAATCGTAGGGGAAGTTACTGGCGTGTTGACCCGCGCTCGGGTTGAAAGGCGCCTAATATGCGGTCTTCTTCCTGCTATCACCTTCCTGGAGGATAACCCCGATGGAGCGCTACTTTGTATGCTCTCCCAGACCAGACCAGGGGATGCCGCCACTCACATCCAAACAGTGCTATTACAAGCATTCTGTTACGAAAATTTCATCCCTGTAATACAGGTAGGTGTCATTGATAGCGTTCAATAAATAAAAAGTGCCGACAATTCAAGCTTTCCCGCTGGCGTTAAACAAAATAAAGCCTGAGCGGGAATTCCATTAGTTAACAAAATAATTACAAATGCGCGCGTCATAAAAGACTGGTTTTATACCAACAAAAAAACTAATTGTCACCTTCTTTTCAGGTTGATAGCAGTGAAAAATTAGCAGATTTATGCGGACTATCAGAAGGCAAAGGCAGAAATTCCGAATGTTTCTGCGCAATCATTACAACAGACACAAATAATGAATTAAACCCTGATGAAGATCCACCCCTATCACCATCCGAACAGAAGCTGGCGGACTTCTACGAGTGCACACTAGAGGAGTATCCAAGACCAGTCATTCACCTTCCATCCTTAGGAACAACGTGAACAATTTTCAGAAAAGGGTTGAAATTATCCCAAGAGTGAATTCTACTAAGAAGTTGTACTACTTGCTGGTGTACATAATCTGCCTATTAATCGGTAGCGTCAAGATCATCTGCTGATCATCATAATCAGCAAATGTATGATGAAGTTTTCCATAAGATTAGAGAAAAATATTGTTAAACACTTTCATTTGGAAAATGTTGGTTTAACAATTAAACTTGTTGATTATTTGTTTAGTTAATTTAGGATTAAGTGTTTAGTTTGTAAAAATTACTTTAATGTGGAAGATTGTACTTTATCCTTTTCTGAAAATTGACTTTGAAAACTGATTTGTAAAAAACATAATACCCAATTGTGTTTGTTGAGAATTGTCACATTTATAATGTTGAAATATTGTGTAATAAAAATAGATTTGTTGCTTATAATGTTTTATTGTTAACAATAATAATTGGTAAAATTGCGCTGCACTTGCAAAGTTGGTGCTTTGCAAAATGTTACACCATTCTAAATTTCTATGGGAGTATTTCTATAATTTGCCAATTTTCTGAGTATGTACTTTTTTTCACATACTCTACACTGCAGTATGTTTTATTTGCATGTATGTTGGATGCATATGAAAAGACCAAATTCTCATTGTATAGGTAATACCATAATATTATGTTATTGTATTATTACAATGGAATGTTTACTTACATTTAATGTTTACGCATAAAGAAGTATCTTTGAAATCTAGTAGAAGTTCTATGAATTCCAGCATTTCTGCATGTTGCCATAATTTTCTTTAAAATATCTTAACCTATTTCCTGAAGCATCCACCATTCTTTTCAACTTCTCAAATTGATTTTCGTCAAGCGTTAATACTTAATGTTTTCAAATTTCTCTGAAGAGTCCTTAAGCTTTCTTCAAATTCTCTTCAGATTTCCGGTTTTCCGCACGCTTCTTAGTGTTACGAGAATATAATCTGCTCATAATTTACACACTTGCCTATACTTAAATTTAATCAAAAAATGAATCCGAATTAGACTTATTAGGGACTAGATTTTGACCTGTGGAACTCAAAACTTTCGGAATTTTCAAGATTGAACGTCTACATCAGAAAGTATGGGCACAAAACCGATTTACAAAAAAAAAACAGAAAATCGGAAATAACTTTTATGTAGCGGTCAAGACTGGTCCACGGGGCCCACCCCACGAAAATACTTCGAGAGTAAATGAGTAACATTCTAGTAACTGGAAGCACTACAAAACCACTTTAAAGACAGTTTTACAGTTAATAATTTGAATCTGCTAAATAAATCGCCCGAATATCTACCAAGGTTTTTGTTATCACCGCTGATAATTTGTGTAAGGTGGGTTGCATAACTATTAGACATATCCATGCAATGAAAAACAGGAAAAGCTCACGAAAAAGGTTCAGATTATGCCCCTGAGTGCCATAAAAACTGTTTGTGATTAAATTACTGACCTTTGTAGTTTGTAATCCCCTAAGCCGGTTTCAAGGACGGTGTGTTAAATCAAAAAGTATATAACGTTATATCACAGTAAAGCTCCGTTATCTGTGGTTATATACTCTTTGGTTCAATTTACTTTCGTTTAAGGTGTTTTGCCTATCTGTAGGGGTTTGTCATCACTGGTTAAACGCCAATTGGAGAACAAATAACCAGTTCGTTAGGGTAAAATAGCAACTAACAAAACAAAGTAGTTGTACAACAGGAAACTCGTCTAGTGCAATAACATCATTTTGTGAGAAACATAATGTAAGGCAAATTCAACATTTAGGCAACAGAATCTGTGGAATTAGCGAATCACAACTCGCCCATAGATTCCAAACTGAAGAGTTAGCAGTCAGGTCCTTTGGACTTTGGTTCCTCGTTCCCAAAATGGCAACTTAAAGATAAGTTTCGAAATCAACCACACTTGAATGTTGTAACAGTTTTCGTTACAGTATAATTCCCATATCACTGGGATTGTCTGCCTTAGAATTAAGATATTTTTTATTTATAATAATTTTAAGTTGAAGATGAGACAGTTTTCCTATACTACCAGTATTGTAGCGGCGTATGTCGCTCTGTTTATAATACCTACCATTGTATAGTGTATATACAATGGTACTACCCATCTAAAACTAATTAATGTTGATACTTTGCATCTCTAACAGCATTTAAATGTCTTTAAAATGAACCAACAGTTTCTAAGTCTCTAAAAATCTATAGAGGCCAATGTTTAAGTGTCACCATGGATCTCCAAAGGTTTCCAAGTCTCCAGGAAACTCTCAGAGGCTTTGAATTTCGTTTCGAAAAGCGTTAAATGACTTTTACTTTACTTTTGGAACTGAACCTTTTAATGGTATTTATTAATCTTCGAGTGTGTAGGAGTCCCCAAAATGACAAAGGTGTTTACAAGTCGAACACTTAAGAGCTTAAGGTCCTTAAAAAGGCTGTGTAAAAGTCTCAGAGCTTTTAAGTGCCGCCCGCACTGTTCAGACATTTCTAAATGCTTTAAAATCTTTACTAATGCTTTTGAGAATCCTCAAGAGCGGAGATTTTGTAATTGAGGAGTATTTAAGGGTGGAATTCATAGATATTACTTAAGTTAGACTTACACTTTACTAATTGCACACTTACTTTAGTTTAAGTGTAACCAAAGAGTATATGTGGAACTTATTTACTGCTCGTATTCCGACTTAACTGTCCGTATTTCGCCCGTTACTATAGCACTAATGTCATGCGTCACTTTGGCAAATATTTCTTTGAATACCAAAATGTTACCAAGTACACAAAAGCCGAGATTTTAAAGTAACGAGTTTTTAGGCCACTCATAATCTCACGTCTCCAAGCGCTTTCTAGATTGTTTTACGAACCCTACAGTCCTTAATTTTTTAGATGTCAGCCTTTGCTATTTTTAATGAGCCTTGTGAATAATTAAGCTTGCTTTGTGAACGTTTAATATTAAAAAAAGTACAACTCAACTTACTAGACTATATGATAACGAAAATCAATAGAAAAATGTAGAATTTATGATTTTATCTTTTCCAATGTGTATTATTGACATTTTATACAAAAAAATATATCAGTTCACATGTTTAAAATTATTGGACCAGCACATATATTCCGATTGATATATTTGTGGCGAAAAAAGAAACATTGTATAAATTTATCTTTGATATCTATGAAATGTTTGTGTGAATTTTGTCATCAGGGAAATCTTAAAAATCTCGATAAATTTGGACCATGTCTTCCTAATGGATCTTCTGGAAACATCAACATATCGCCTACCCAAGTAGGCATAAGTAATCGTCTTTCGATAGTTGTCCGCCAGTCGAGCCTTTCCATAAACAAATCTCTGTAATTATCACTAGAAACAACCACACCCTCACAGGCAGCAGCGTATTGAATAATATATCTGTAACACATAAAAGTTAAATGAAGTTTCTAACGGGTCACTAACCTATCGTCGTATGGAGTAATTCTTCTTCCATTCACTTCTCGGGACGGTGTAAACACAACGTATCCCTTATCCGCTAAAGAAAGTAAAAGATTTCTGTTTGTTGTTTGGTTGTGCTTCTGGCGAAACTGTGGCACAAATGCTACTACCTTATGGCCTCGTTTAACAAAATAGTCTATAGCTATTTGCAAACCTTTTACTGAGAAATGTTTTCCATTAGAGTGTCTGGAAAGGAAAATGACAACAAACACTACCACTGATTAGCAGAAAGATGTTTATTAAATGTGCATAATAAGAGAGAGTGAGTAAACCGCCATAGATACACAGTAAGCTGTAGTTGTTTCACCTATGGTTAGTATCGTACACTGGGTTTGGAGGAGTAGCAATAGTCTAATAGGTGCAACAACTTTATTTTATTTTGCCTTTATTTTTGGGGTTTCAGCCAAGGCTGCTCTACCAACCCAACCCACTATACATTTACAAATATCCATGCCCGCACCCGAATTCGAACCAGGGACCCTTAGCATCACAGTCCAGCTTTAACTGAACTGCGCCACACGGGACGACTTAACTTAAATTACCAATGATGTTAGACAGTGTGTGGTTCGGTCTCGGGTTAGGTACATGATCAACTTCAACCAACATTAAAAATCCCGGTGGTTTACCCTCTATATCACTCTCATCTACACTTACCCAAAAGCCACATTGCTACCATCTATTACAATTTCTCTCAAGCTTCCACTTGCCCTAAAGCTCAGAAGTGGGGGAATATTTTGTGTGCCACTAAAAGGAACTTGTACATTGTTGTTCAATGATTTGCGAGGACTTCGCGATTTTGAACGTGGCGAAATAATGGAAGCGTTATTTTGTGGGCTACAAATAATTGGATTGAATTCTCGGTTGGCACTTGAAGATTTGCGAGGACTTTGTGATCTTGACCGTGCCACAACTGAAGTATTCGTCAGGCCGTCTAGACCCTTTTTACAACTACACCTTTTAGCTTCCTCAGAGCTGAGCTTGATGCACTTCACACATCGTTTTTTAAGTAATTCTGAAATTGTGCTTGCACAGAAAAACCTTAGGGTGGCTTCCTTCAATCTCTTCTTCTTACGATTTTGTTTCGCTTTTCTTCTTTCAAATTTTTTTTTCTTTGCTTGAAGTTTCTTCGTTTGCCTGTTATTGTACGGGTTATTCACTTCTTCTTTCACAAAAATGACATCCTTATCTTCTTCCTCATCCTGAATATCAATGAAGGAAACATCAGATGTGGATTTCAAAGTGGCACTATCTGTCTGTGATGTCAGTGGAATATATTCATTATTAGGTGCTACAAATGAGTCCTCGATAACAATAACATTTTCATCTGCTGGATTAACAATTATCACATCATCTTCTTCACAAACAATATTTTCACTATTTAACTCCGAATTTAAATGTAGGACCTGAGCGTTCGGTTTACTCTGGAGGGAGGCATTATGTACATCATTATTATTAAGCGGGTTTCTTGTTTTTGTACGTTTCAATGACTTTATTTGGGGTTTACTAGGAGACTTACGGCCACTCTCACAGGGAACTGTCACACGAATACTAGACGAACTTTCACACACGTGATAGTTTTTTAAAAACTGTAGATTTGTGTGAATAATAACAGGTTCGTACATATCAATTTGCATAATACCAGTTATTCTATCATTTAACGAGATATTGCAAAAGTGTTCAAATTCATCCTTTTGAGTGCCGTCGTTGGCCACAACTCTCTTAAGTGTGCGTAAAGATCGTGTTCGACTTCTTGTGGTACGTTCTCTATTGGATAAGGGTTGTATGGCATCAAATATACAAGGCATTATTAAAAACGTGTCCGAATTGAAAAACCTGTAAGTTAAGTACAAAGTAATATTTTGCGTCAGAAATTCCTGAGAACTTACGTCACAATTAATTATGAACACGTATCACCATTATGTAATTTAGGTTCGTCTTTAAATATTTGAAAATAATGTTAGAGAATAATAGAAAAATAAATCCAGCGAATTAAAAATTTTCAATTTATTATGACATGACATTTGACAAGTAGAAAAATTAAAAATTGCTTTTGCTGCATTCAACAAATCAAATACGAAAATGGGCGCGTTCATAAGACACAACAGTTACCGCTACGCTACGAATATCGGTAACGTAACGGTTGGGGTTTATGTCACGTTCCCTACTTTGAGATGTATAGCGCTACCATTGAATAATATCAGATTTATTATTCAATGGCGCTACTAAAAATGGCCGACTGCTCCGTAAAGAGTGTAAAAGTAGCGACGTAATTAAGACGTATCGGTAACTGTTCCACAACAGTTGTTAAAGTGTCTTATAAATGCGCCCATTTACTGCTTTCCATTTGCGTGTGGGAAGCTCTGGTGCAGTTCGTTCGGAGCAGCTCGTTTTGCAAGTTGTTCATTGCGCACACATTTGAATTGACATTCACAGTACGTAAATAGCCACAAAAGTGTTTCAAGCCCCAAGCAAATAGGTGGTGCATGAGGGGACAAGGGAAATCCAATTTCGGGCGCGTCAGAGCTCGAAGCTTTCTTAAAAGGAACACACGGCATCGTGCACGGTACAGCTTAGAGCTCCTCTTTCGCTCAAATGGAATTGACGATCGTCGAAAATGACGTTTTAATTGGATTGCATTCGTATTAGCACCATATATATAAGGTATACAGTGAATTTTTTTAAATGCGAACATAGGAGTTTGTATGCAATGTAATTTCCCTATGTTCGATTTTAACAAAAACACATCATTCTATTGAGTAGTTCAAATGAGTAGTAGATACAATTGACAGCTGTCACATTTTTAAAAATGCCGCCGTCCAATTTAATTACGAAATCGGTTAGGTTATTGCTTAGAATGTCAAGAAGGACACTTCGAACATTTATTGTGATTGTTTTCGTTATTTATTTTCTTATTTTCTTTATTTATGTATTGAATAAATCAAATTAGTAGAATACCAGGTGCACATGACCTACAAATAATTGAAGGTTGGTTCACAATGAATTGTGATGTCAGCGCGTGCCATGTGAAGTCAAGTTATCGTAAGTTAAAGAAAAATTTATCATAAAGTTGCTATGGCCTCACATGGCTTAATTAAAAGAATCTTACCGAGTACTCTTCATCATAAAGACTATGAGTTGCTGTTCATAGTCACACAAATTGCGCGTTTTGGGAATGTGAACCGCGCACATCTCATAGATTGATGTGTTTTTTTTAAAATCGAACATAGGGAAATTACATTGCATGCAAACTCCTATGTTCGCATTTTAAAAAAAACTCACTGTATATGATTAGGACAGATATACGTAAAGAACAGATTGCTAACTAAATGGAAATTTAGTAAACGCAGCTGTAATGCAAATAAGTATAACGGGTGGCCTACAAGTAGGAAAAAATTGAGGAAATTAAATTTGCTTTAATACCTAATACAATTTCGAAAATATTAATTTTCCCTGTTAGAGGACATCAATAATCTACAGATTTCTCCTCTTTATGTTGGTGGATTATGACTTATAAGTACATCTGACACGTTGGATAATCACAGGTGTGCAGATTACTGACCTCTATTTTTATTATATCAGTGGTGCAGATACGCAGTATTTCTCTAAACTAAGTACCTTTCAACTATTTATTTGGTGCTGTGTACGTTTAATTAATTAATTAATTAATTAATTAATTAATCTATAAAAAAGCATTTTTTTCACAGCGAATAGAGTGCAAATACTTAAACTTATTTAACAGGACTATTTAACTAACTACACTACTTATTGGATTGTTTTTTTTAAGTGAACAAATAGATAAGCAGTTTACGTAGTTGTATGTACGAGGATTGTGTAAAAAATAAGGCTCCGAAATTTTTCAAGTATAATAAGGCATTTTTTATTTGAACTGCACCTTCGATATTCAAACTACGGTACTGATAACTGTTTGTCTTTGTAATATTATTACTCTAATAATAAAAACTCAACTTTCCTATTAAAAGGTTTATTTTTACACATGAAGCTTATTTGTGGTGTATAATTCTTAACTTTGATTTGATGTTGAAGAATATGGTCTATTAGCAAATAGCAAAACCAAGAGATATCAATCTCAAAAAGCCTTATTTGTCCAAAAGTTAGACTTTAATAGGACAGACAGAATCTATCCAACTACGTTTGTTTGTAAGTTACAGGGTGAAAACGAAAAGTTTGACTTTTTGGGATGTATCGTAGAACATTGGTCAATATGTGAAAATGTACGTTAAACATTCTCTCAAAATTTCTTCTGCAATTATTTGTATGAATGGTAATGGAGATAAACAAACTGGTAGGTAATTTAATCTTTAATAGTAGAGGTGAATTCTTATAATTACTCATCAAATAATACAACGGTAGGAAATCATTATCAATCTGGCGTGAAAAATTACCACGTTTATTGTATATCAATTACATAGATAACTATGTCATAGCCATAATCGATAGATGATTACAGTCACAATAAATCCTCATTAATAGGGTACATGTTACACATACTCAAAAAACATCAAATAATATTTTAAAAAATGATTCTATACTAAAGTCAGACATAACTTAATAATAATAATTTTAAAAATCCACGATATTCTGGACGATTCATCGAAAAAAATGTACCAAACACACAACTGACCAGAGAATTCCGTGAAGAACTCGTTCGGGCACTTTTTCATGTTACACATTTTTCATTGGCACACTGTTGAACCAAAGAGTAGTACTCTTTGGTTGAACTTCGTTTTGTACGGAGGGATCTAGCTAGTTCTAAAATTTCCAAAAGTGCTGTAATTCTGAAGATATTTTACATCAATTCAATCAAGACTTTGTATAAATATTCCCAGAAACGTGTTACCACCCAAAATCATTTTGCGTACTAGATTTCGTTACTTTTAGTTTACCCCTTCAAATATCCCTGAAAAATAATGTAAAAAACCATCAAGATGCTTAGTACACAAGCATAAACAGAAAATTGCATAACATTGAAACTATTTCGGCTGAAGCGCGTTCTTTGAATATCCCATATGTAGGTAGTTTTCAGAAATCTATTCTCGTCGTTAGTACTCTGTACTGTATTTACTACTACTATATTTTCTTCAGAATTAATTATTTTTAATATCGAACTTTTCATTTAACTACCGTATAATTAACAATGTTGCAACAACAAGCACAGGACGTTTACATATCACCATTGAATATCCAGAGGAGTTGGATATTCAATGATATAACTATAGGTACCTATAGTAAACACTCGTCTATCGTTAATTATGTGTTAACAACGTCAATTACGTCATTAATTGGTTCATAGTTGTCGTTTCCAAATCTTCTTAGCTGCAAGGTAATAATCCCACTGAAAGATGTACCCATTAATAAAGAAAATTTCAATTGTTCCATCTTACATTGTTAAAACAACTTCAAACCCGTATATTCCGGTCGTAACAAAATTAAAAGCGCCCGGTAGCGTTTCTATGGTGTGGTTGTAAATGTAGGTGTAGATTGGCGATCCCAAAAGGTCAACAATAGTCTCGACCATAATCACAAATGAAAATACTTTGCCACACTCGTTGAAATGCACCAGTTTGGAAATTAGCGATCTAGTCATTGGACTAATGCTACCACCAAAGCAAATTACTGCTCCGGCTGCAATTGAATAAGTGATTATTCATGACGATGGATACCGATAGTTACTTACCAACGTACATGTGCCAATCTTTGGACGCAAGCCCTTGTATCAGTACATTTGCCATTACAGACAAAAAACCGAGTAATATCACAACCGATTCTTCCACTTTTAAAAGTGTATGCAATACGTAACCGCCTAGGATACTCCCAATTATCCATGAAATTTTCCTACAACTGGCGAATAAGGTATACTGCCTTAAAGTCCAACTTAGCTTTCTTCTTAGGTACAAAAATACAATGTTACCATCGGCGGTTACCGCCAGTAGAAAAATGACGGTCATTAAGATCACCGATAAAAGCAAAGGCCTATCCAGACCAGGCCTCTCTTCGAACGTAGTTTTCACAGTATCCTTAATTAAGGAGAATTTAAACAAATTACGGCATCGTCCCTACAAATAAAATGCAAAAGACAAATGTTACGCGCAATTAAACAAAAGCTCACTTCTGTTTCTGGATTTGGGTTGGATTCCTGGACGAAAATCATGACAATTATCCAAGCCGTTACTATACAACTTGCTGTGATGTAATATAAGGTAAAATATCCATAGGCGTGAAATACAAATGAGCTAGCAGTGGCTCCTAGTAATCCTGCTATTGTTATCACAGCTTCAAATATACCCATCCTAGAATCAGAAAGTACCTATATACCGTTCTTATGTACGACGTTTGTACCTAAAACCTCTTTTGACGATATGAGTAGTTTCGGTTAAATGGCAAATGCTGACAGCCAAAAAAGAAGGAAATCCACCTGTTAGGCATATTGGGATTGAGGCTAAGAGTAAAAACCAAGGTGACAGCATTTCAAAGAGAGATATTGCCGTAATTATCGCGTAAGCGCAAACGAAACCTGAAAAAAAATTAAAGTTACTTTCTTATCCTAAAATGATTTATTTCTCTTATGTAGGTTCTGTTCTGTTTCCTTATGAAGCGGTACACGCATAAATTTTCCTATACCAGTAATTTTGTAAATTGTGATTGTCCGTTCAAGTACATTTGTTGCTAAAACAAATCTTTTTTGGAAAAATCTTGCACTAAATGAATGTGTTTTTTGTAATTTTCATTTTTCCAAACATTAGACATTACAATCGGTTCATTTTGAAGTGAGAGTCCTTTACATACTTATATGGTTTATAATCAAACTCTGTATGCTTCATTCCTAAGTATTTTGTAATAGTAGAATTTGAATTCAAAGGTAATGTTTCATAGGGTACTAATAAATAGTTTGTTCTGCTTCGCCTTCTGTGGGAATAACCTCTTAAGACTCGTGTGAAAAGAATCACTTTCAACGCTCGTGTTATTTAATGCACTATGGATCGTTAGTAAGTGCAAAATACACAATTTCGTCTCCGCACCCGCCGCTATATAGAAAAAAAACGAAAAAAATCAGCACCTTCTTCAGATTCTCACTTATATCTGCCTTTCTGTGCATTTCACTAATTAAATTTACAGTTTTGGCTTGAATTTGGAGTTTATGACGATGACGGAGTCGTAGGTGGAGGAGAGCTAATCATTTAACCCTTGCATTACACTGGAGAGCAGTTCCAGGAGAGGTCCTCCTTGTTCCTCTCATTGGCGGGGAACTTGTCCTGAAGTGTGGTGTGGTTATGAGTTTGCCTTGCTCAGACGGATCTGTATACATTTTGTAGGTAATACATTCCGTACAAATCTTATTCTGATACTTGTTTTCCTAGAACACGCCGTAACTGAATTACTGAGTTCTAAAGTGGGAAATTTGTCACATCAACATTGACTTTTGTAGCTAAAGTGTACCGAAACGATGAAATAAGCGAAAATCTGAAGACTGATTTTTTCAGTTTGTTCAATATGGCGACAGGGGCGGAGGGGGAAAATTGTGCATTTTGCATTTTAAACACCGTCCTAGACAACATATCAAACATTTAAAACTACCGATCCGTTCCCCCCATGGGATACACCTTGTCGTGGTGGTGGGGCTCAGTAGTCACTATTTTCAGTGGCGAAGCAAAGTATCCCAGGTGGGTATCTGCTAGACTCCTTGGTTTTTACCCGAAAAAGTTTGGTGCATAGCTACCCAATTCCAGTAAATCTAGTTGCACGGAAGCTCATTCATATGCCTTATGGAGTAGGGTATTAATGAAAGTATCCGTCTAATAACAAAGTTCAGGATGTGTTCGAACCTGGGCTGATCTAAGAATTTTTAATCTGTGACAGATATGGGAATTTCCTTAGATCAGTTTCGAGTATTTTGCCGGGTACTCCGGATTAGGTGTTCTTGCAGTTTTCCTAATTCGTAAGGTGAATGAACAACTGAAGACCTGCTGCATGGGCACCTCTAAAAGGTATTAAGCGGGTCACTCTGTAATTGGGCGGAAGTCTGTTCAGAACAAGAGAGGGATTAAAAATAAATACTTAAATCACTGCATTTTACCCCCCTTAATTTTAAATAAAAATATTAGGAATTTTTTTCTTTTTTTTAAAACACGTAAGTAATCTTTTATGTTCGTATACTGAACTGCGACATCAATTACGGGGGGAGGGGGTCCTTTCTGTTTTAATTAATTTTTTCTGTATTTTTAACATCTTAGCCTCCGGAAAACAAATCTACTCTATATTTTTGTTTCTCTAAATCTGTTCTAATTCCTCTTGTTATTTATTAAATGCGCCAAATTATTTTTGACAAGCGAATGTGTGTGATACTAATCTGAAATATGGGGTAAATAACACCAATAGATCATAAACATCATAAACGAGATAGGTATAGGTGTATTAGGAAGAATCTCAATGGCTGAAATTTTTTCAATCAAATAGTATGAAGTTCAAGCATTATTTCCAATCAAAAGACCGAAAATGTTTATTTTTCTCAAAAAACTATACTAACATTAGATATCTAATTCTAATTTTTAGAATAAGACACATTACGTAAAGTAAAAAAAAAGCAGCATGCAATTTAAGATAACTAAGTTAGCGTCGACTTCCGGTTTAAGCGGAAGTGCTGCCATTTTTAAAACATTTTCGATTGGAAAATTAACCTTACTTTTGTGTATAGTTAAAAAAAACATATCTTGAACTGCTTCCCAAAAACGCTCATAGTGAAAGACCAGGAAAGTCAGGAAGAATCTTTCGAAATGATCGGGACTCAAAAAAGACATAAGTTGTACTTGCGCAAACGAAATTTTACGTAACCCTATAGCTATACAAATGAGAGAAGTTGTGTCTTTTGCTATTTTATTATTAAAAAAAAACAATTTCTGAGTTATGATGTTTTTCTAATGGAATGAAATGTTTCTCAACCATATTCACCTGATTTTTGTTTATCGTTGTACTACTCAAATCATGGCATGAATAGATGTATATTCCAATTCTCTGTTTAGAATAAGATCATTATAGTTCCAGTGGCAGTGCTTTCCGTTTAAAATTTCTTTAGCTTTAGAAAATTAAAATAAAATTTGGGAATGCGAACTTATCTGCAGCATCCCCTCACCAATTTAGTTAGCGACTCGTTTGTTAGACATTGGTACTCTCATAGATAAACCATATTTACGCAACTATGAAATAAATGTCGTATCGCTCTTGCATTTGCGTATGGCAAAAAAATTGATGTCAAATCTGGAAATAACAATTTGATTCTGCCACAACCACAAAAATAAGGTTGTTCGTAGATCTTCCAGGATTCCGTTCAAAATTTTGAGTGAAAGTCACAACGTGATGGTATAGAACTTACTCACGAAATTAATTCAACTAACCTGCCAAAGACATTATCATAACAGGTCTTCTCCCATATTGGTCTGACCACGGGCCCAGGAAAAAGCACCATATCGAAGTAACTACTATTTCAGTTACAGATTTGGTTGTAGTTAGCACTGCCGCATGCGGTTGCACTTTCAGCTCCAATTTGGCGGTTTCGTCCGTTGCTTCTGGTGTACCCAATAAAGCACAATCGCTCTTGTTAAAACCCATAGTTACATAGCAAGTCCTGTATACTACAAAGTTTGTCGTGACGGGATCTGGAAGTTTATTATTAGCATACAATTCCTTTTGAAGTATAGTTGGCCAAATTACCTGACAGAGCAAATGCAAATAAGAGGAGAGCGAAAGGTATGTCTACACTTAACTTCATGGCGTGGCCTGTACGTAGGCTAGTAAGACAAATTTCTACATTATATCCACTCTTAGTTAGTTGTGATGTATTCAAATACAGATTAAGTTTTGATACTTCACTTGAGTAGATATGCTTTGCAACTAACCCACGTGTTAGTCATTGTAAGTACTACAACAATTCGGGGGTTTACCGGAAACCGTCTTCTGGGAATTCCATTTGGTTTTGGGAAGTCACAGTTATAACTTTCACTTATATATACTGTTACATCATATATAAATAAATAAAAGAAATTAAATGCATAACATGACATCTTCCTTTAAAAATTAATAATTTTTATCTCGGCGGGAGGAAGTAAGCCAAATCGCACATGCCAACGTAAGTATTGTCAGTGTCGAAAATGTTATAGGTTTGACCTTGCTACTACATTTTTATTATAAGCGAAGATTACGAAATCGAAAGTAGCCACAGCAATGAATCACAAAATAGATGTGTTTTTAACTTTATCAACCAGGTCTTATTGTTGTTCAAGGAAAGCGGTACTTACCTAGATTTTGTTAATCACAGTAGATTAGTTACATACTTATCACAATTTTTCGTCACAATTCCCAACTTTACATCAAAATAACATCGGGAACAAGAATTTAAAAAAATTATAAGAGGCCCTATCTTAAAAAAGTACGTGATCCTTCACGCCGCACGTTCGGACTCTCCATTTATTTGTTTTTTTGGTCCTTCTGCCAATCAAGTTTCTTTGGTATAAGTAGGTATATGATATACATACACATTTGTTTTCAAGATTGCTAAATGATCTTTATAAATTATTATTTGTGAGGGGTAAATGTGTTTTCTTCAAATAAAAATTGTAATCATGCCTATTATTATGTGAAAAACTGTAAACGGTTATTAAAAATGATATGTATTTACTTACTAAAAAAAAGTTATTTGTTTCATAGTACGAAAAAAGTGCCAGTAAAAACGAAGCTTTTACGTCTGTAAAAGCTTCAATGCATTATAGGGACAGAGCAAGGGATCATGACGAGTGGTCCATATTCGTGACACTACCTTATAGTGGTTTAGCTCTAAGCGCTCATTGAGCGTTATGGCAGTTATAAGTTATTGTGTAACATGGTCTATTCCGCAATAAAACGCAAGTCTGTGCCTAAAATCTGTAATACCTGAGGTGTAATGAGGTGTATTGATTTTTCCATTAACTTTAGATTAGGTACTGATGAAACAATTTTGATGTGATTGCATTTACTCTAATGGAATAGATACACTTATTTGATGAGAATTCTAAAAGCTCGCAATTTACCATAGCGATGGGTCTATACAACTTAAAGGTCTTAGAAAAAATGCAAAAGAGACGATGCTTAAGGCAAACCTACTATCAGATGTTATATAAATCTATTGAACCCGTCATTATATTTTGTCGTATTGTAGGATTCCTACCAACACTCGAAAAGAAGAGCAAAGAAGAAAAAATCGTAAAGACAACTAACAAAGATTGGGTCCTTTTCGTGATTTATCTCACTTCGTATTTAACAATTCTACTCTACAATTTGAAAGTGTTGATAAACAAAGAAATCGCTTTTTACATATCCAGGAGGATGCAAATTGTATATCTCTCCATTTCCGGACTCTACACCCTCGGCTTAATCGTTTTCGGATACACAGAGCGCCGAGTGGTTAATTTGTGCATAAATCGTATTTCCGAAGTTGATAACTTCCTGAAACTGGCAGAATTGGGCATTGTGTACGAAGACGTACAAGTAAAATTGAGAAGAACTTTCTTCATCATACTAACTCTGACAGGTTTCCGAACACTATTCTTCTCTCTTGTCGTGGAAATTTATTTCCTGCAGCACGTCTGCATATTTTTCAATCTAATTTTGAAACTCGCGTTTGTTTTCACGTTTACAATGTTTGCAGAACTCGTATCGTACAGGTTCGAGCTCATCAACAACACCCTCAGATCTTACTTGAATCGTCATGTTGATATTCACAACACATCGAGTTACATCGAAAAACTGTACATCCTGTGCCGCTCCCACTTTAAATTATGTAAAGTAGTTGTAAAACTAACATCGAGTTACGGATATCAATTGTTAATTACCGGCGTTGCACTGATTGCTAATTTTGTGAGTGTCTTTTATCTACTGTACTCTTTTTGGAACCGGAATAGTGGGGAGATCATAAAATTGGTTGCAATTTCATTCTGGTTCCTAACCGAAGCTTACGAACTGTATGGAATGGTATCAAAGTGTAGTCAAGCCAGCGATGACGTGAGTAGCTCTTCACTTTCACAATGCATTCTTGTGATTTTAGGCCAATGAATTACCAATTACACTGCACGAACTGCAAGATGAAGTCAATTCTACCGAAATAGAGGATCATGTAAGTTAAGTACCTAATTGGAAGCCGTAAATAATAGCTAATTTGGCAGATACAAATGTACTCACTAAAAATGTTACATCAGAAGCTTTGCTTTTCAGCTCTTGAATTTTTTGATTTTGATTTTTCGCTACTTTTTGCCGTAAGTACCTCCCGGTCTAAAGAAAACCCTCTGATAGCCATTGTTTTAGATAATGGGCTCGGTTTTAACATTTTTGGTAATTGTGCTGCAATTGGAACAGTTGGAACAAGTTGAAAACTCCTTGGGAATCGTTGTGACTGAATTTGTCAACAAATCTATTATTGCAACGACCACAATGAGCGATGATATTGTTGAGGGCGACTATTACGATTATGATGATTATTAGTAGCATTTTTGTTTGATGCAACAGTACATTGTGAAATTAGGAATAGAATTTGTAAGCACGTTTGGTGATAATGTTGAAGAAAATGCACAAAAAAAGCTGATTCAGGTTCGTGAAGTGGAGAACCGATATGTCAGCCATATCAAATTAAATTCGTGTTCATTTTGTGTTTTGTGCCTTGTTATAGGTACACATTTTGTGCTCTTGTGATTTTTAAATTCTTCAGTTTTTTAGCATATGAAACATTCATACTGGGTGTTGTAACATTCGAACTCTTTTTGTGCCTCTATTCTTTTAGGATGAGACAAATGTCTTGCTCTTGGTAGAGCAGTCTCGATTAGTAAAAATAAACATTCCCCAGTGACTCTTCAACGATCCTTAAACGACTCATTTATTTATTTATTATTATTATTTACCACGTTACATATCTGGTAGATGTGTTTGTGGCACGTCAAGCATAACATATAAAAGTAACATACAACATAAATATACATTATACGATACAATGATTTTACATTTAACATATACATAAATAATATTTTAGGTAGGTACATACATGTAAGCGTACAAAGTTTATAATATGTCTGTCGGTGATATTTGTGTGTTTAAAAATTCATTGACTGAATATAGCGCTTTACTGGTAAGGAACCCCTTAACTTTGATTTTAAATTGTCTATTGTCGAGTGCTTTGACATTATCAGGTATAGGTGGTTGTAGAGTTTCAAGTTCACTCCATTCATATCAGACATCTTGATGCGATGTCGGGGTAGTTGCAACGTCCCTTTGGCTCTGGTGAATGTCAGAATTTAGCTCGTAGGATTCAACAGTCGAATGAATGTCCACCAAAGAAGCCAGAATATATAGAGAAGGCAATGACAGCGCTGATAATGAAATAAACAATGGACGGCAGTGCGCTCTACACGGTTTGCGAGCTATAAATGCGAATCACCCTTTTTTGTAGGCGAAAAATTTTCGTAGCATGAGCAGAGTTCCCCCAGACCTGTACAGCATAGCTTATTTGTGAGTGAAATAGGGAAAAATATGCCATCTTAAGTAAATGAGGGCTGACCAATTTAGAGACTCGTCAATTTTAATTCCAAGTAGCGTAACATTGTCACCCTTCAGTAATGAAGTGTTAGAGGTTACAATTAACTGTTGGGTTTTATTACTATTTAATATGAGGCGATTATTGGTGAACCAGTTTTCGGCCAATTTCTCACATTCGTAGGCTTTATGTTGTAGTTATGAGCCGATGATAGCAATGTTGTGTCATCGGCAAATAAAACGCAAGTATTAGGTAACATGGTGTAGTAGAAGTCATTAATGAAGGTAATGAACAAGATTGGCCCAAGCACTGAGCCCTGCGGCACCCCCGCCTTTATTGTACTGCAGTTTGCATAGACGCCTTTAATACACACGCTATTCTGTCGTTCTTCGAGATATGACTTAAAGAGCTTTAGCGAAGTGCCACTTAATCCGTAATACTCTAATAATTGCGCCACAAGGATATCATGCGGGACACAATCGAAGGCTTTCGATAAATCAAATAGTGTGATTTGAGAGATTCTTCCATCGTCCAAATTTTTCACCAGTTGTTGCATCAATTTGAGCACCGCCTCTAAAACAGTGTGTCCCTGGGTTGAGTTCACTATACGTGTAATTGATCAAAAATGTTTGAATCTTGTTTTTGATGTTTTGGGATCCCGGCCTGCTTGGTCTGAAAAGAATTTCAAGCACATTTTTACTTTTTAAAATCCAAGATGGCCGTGGCAAATGAGAAAAAAAGTGCCATTTTGGTTAATAATACGGCAAATTGTTTGTAAAATAAGTTTTTAGAATATGAGATTATGTCCATAGGTATGCAAAATTTCGCAAACGTCGGGTCGCTTGATTAAATCAGTATTTGATTTGTAGTCTCGAGCCAAATTCACTCTACAAAAAATTATGAATAACTCGCACAACATAAGACCATGCTGTTATGAAAAAAATAAAATGAACACAAAAGCTTTCAATCAAATCGCTATAACTTTTGTAAAAGCAAATATATTCGATGTCTAATTGCACTTTTTATTTATTTTTGCTTATTATAGTCAGAAAATATTATGTAAATCCCATGCGCAAAAAAAAATAATTTTTTGTTGACCGGTGTCATAGCTAATATGTTATAACCTACGAGGCCCCAAGGGTTGATAAAAGTTCAAGGTAATACTGCCTTCTTAGCGATACCATCCTTTGTGTGTCTCTATCAAAGTCACTGTCACTCAATTTTTAATGCCACCCTGCTCTCTTTGCAGCAACCCCCATCTTCTTGTTTGTGTCCTTTCTTAATACTGTCATCTTTTAAGCGTCACTATGTTTTTTTAGCGCTATTTCGCAACGTCACCCTGGAGACATCTTCGAACGCTTTTCTTCTTTTTGGTGCCACTATATTTTTCTATCTAAGCCTTTACTAGAATATGAAATATGAATGTTAAACATGATATTTCGAATTTTCGGGTGAAAGTTAGAGTCTATTATTGAAATACACTTTAAAGGGGATGCCGAAATTTAAACTATGTGGTCTCTCTTCACCTTGTAGCTTGGGATTGGAACCTGCCATGGCTTTATAGACTTCACTCAATCCAAGCGGGGTGATTTGTCTACAAAATGTATTTAAATACAAATTATGACTTATAGGAAGTAACTGGGTGAGAAAGACTGTTAATAAAAAACGTGGTAGCTTGTACTGGTGCGTCTTCTCGACAACCATTTTCTTGAATCCAGTTTCGAAACATTTGAAGATTTTGAAAAATGTTATCTGCGATGTTCTTATCCTTTTGCAATTGGTCAATCAAGTTGAACAATAGGAAGTAGTTTTTAGTACTGATGATTAATTTAATTTAGCTTTTATCGTTAACAAAATGGGACCAGAAAATAAATGAAATAAACTAAATGTTCTGGTTACATAAGTTATCAACGGATGATACGCCAATTATTTTCTTACGACCAGTACATTTGACTATACAAAGTCAAACAGGAAAAAGTAGTTTAAACAAAAACACGCCGAATTATAAATAACGTTATGATCATTGAACTTTATTTGATTGCCATTCGATAAACTCTTGTGGTGTTCCTTTTTTTCGAGCCAATCAACTATCTACTTATATGATTAAATTCCTATATAAGTATAATTTGGATTTTTGAGGTGATCAAAAACATTACTGAGTAACCTATGTAACTGGGCACCTACACAATTGCACTTACATCGTGGCCTTTGGCGTTTTATGTATTTATAGCTTCAGTCCACTTTTATCCTTTCCTTAAATAACAACACATAAAGTGCGTGTTTTAAATTTACTAATGATAAGAGTACAGTAGCGCATTTACCTTATCAATCGATAACAATTTGCTTCCCACATTTCTCCTTTTTCTTTGTAGTACCTAGTTGTACACGTTAGTACAGTGCAGAACTTTCAAAAGTGAAATTGAGTATAACATTTCTCTAAATGGCACACCACTATTCAGAAGCTTGGCTGCGTTGTTAGTGACTAAACTAATCCAAAACATAAGCGTTGGAGTATTGTTGGGGGTTGAATGCCAATTGAGTATTCATGAAGTGTGTGTAGGGTACGAAACACCACGACAGTCAGCCAACGTATATCATATGGATAAAGCAAGTATTTTGTCATATAGTTTTCATACATGGACAATTTATAATACCTAATGTGTATTTAATTAAGCAGATGATTTGGTTTACACTAGGTACCCTTATCCATGCCTCATTGTTAAAAGTTTCTGAGATATCGGTAGAGCGTTCTAAAAGAAAGAATGTTTCATTGTGGTCGTGAAGAAATTTGTAAAATTTAATTAATTAATTAATTCCGGAAATATTTGCGCACAGTAAAATTAAAGGTAGATTAAATTAATAAAGATTGTCATATAAACAGACTTCAAATTTGAGCGCATACAAGACTTTCCAAGGAGAGTTTTCGTGAAGACCAATAGGCGAATAAGCCTGGATAGAATTTTATAGACTCCAGGTGTGTGTTTTTCCGGGGAGTTACTATTCGAAAATCAATTATTTGTTCGTTGTTTTTAGTTATCCGCTATTTTTTTAAGCTTTGTACTCAAAATTAATTGTTTCCATTGTTATCTCAATAGCCCTTGAAGATGAACGACATCATTTTTCTTATCTTTTTCGATGCCTTCTTTTAAACTGAGTGCGAAGCTCATAAACTGTTCTTCTACGTCTCACTTTAAAAATTGAATTGAAATTCTTCCCTAGACAAGAAAATACTACCAAGAAGTTAAAAACGTTGGACTGACGTCGTACATATTGTCTGGCTATCTGATACGAACTGTTAACTCGATATAACGAAATTCCGTAATCTATTTAATCGTTGCTATACCTATATCACTTGAAACTTGAGGCAACAAAAAATTCAGTATCATTAAATGCACCAATTTTATTCATCAGCGGTTCTTCAGCTATAATTTTACCCTTAGGTATATTGTGAGGGTAGATTTATCTTTGCAATAATGCTTCTTATTTCGAGCCTGTCACAAATTTAATTGTAAATAGTTGTACCCTTGTATTTGGAGGGTAGATTCGTTCCTTTAGCTTCTGAATCTGCGAAATCTGTCTTTGTAGAGTGTTCCTTGTCTTTACCATGAGTTTCCCTAGTTCGTTCCAAAGCTAGTTTTATAAGTTGCAGACTTACCCCTAACTTTATAGTAGATTCGTCCTCTTATCATCTGATCTGTAAAGGGTTAATTGTAAAGGATGCTTATGTGAGAGAGAGTAGTTTGCTAATTTGTTTGTTTTACAAAGTTTTCTAAGCTCATCGTGGTTTATAGTATTTTCGTATAGTATCGTCCTAAAAGTTTAAATTAAATTCACCAATCTACGTTGCTGTTCTGCCGTTTGTACTTTTTTGTGCAGGGATTCGTAATTCACTTTTACACAAGAAACATTGACTCACTTTACCTCTAAAATAATTAGAGAAGCAAACCTTTAAACATATCTAATTTATCATTACAGATTCCTATCCTGCATCGCGAAAAAAACCATCCGGTATATTTAAAACAATTTAGAAGTCGTTTTAGACCTTCGTCACTTTATTTACCTATTAGTTATTCAATGTTTTGACATACAGTGTGAAACAATTGACAGATAATATGAGTTCCATTAAAGAAAGACACTTCTTTGTAAGAAAAGTGTAACAACTTACCCCATTATCGCTATAGGGTTCAAATACGTTGCTTCTAGGGGAATAATTTGGTAAACCCATATATGCTACTTTCTTTTTTTATACAGTGTGGCTTATTTGACGTGCAAAAAGATTTTCACCCTAAGACGAGTAATGTAGCACATTTTCCAAGCACAGATCATGTACTTCCCGAAAGGCTATATGGACACAAGCTAGGCACAAGCATGTTTATGATTAAAGCGTAGTTAATATCTGTAACGGATGTTACAAATAATTGTTCTACTCCACCCCACGTCTGGTTAATTATGTGAATTAAATTGAGTACGTGTTTGTTATGTTATTTTATTATATAATTAAATATCCCTCTCAGCACTAGGTACTGGTAACTAATATTAGGTGGTTAAGATGGGGGAAGTCCTAGTCCAGTCGGCATAAAAATTTTACACTTACTCAACTGCAGTGATTTGCTACAATTACTTCATCTAATCTTAACTGATTGAGTTGCCCTACTTAATTATAACCTCTTTTATATCAATTATAGGTATTGTTCTACTTAGTTCTAGGTGTGTCACTGTTTTTCTTTCGATATTACATTGATTAGCATAACAACTTACCTTCCACTTGAAAATCCATTGCTTGTAATTCCAGAAGTGTTTTTGAAAAAATTCATTTCAATCAGGGGGAAGCTAAATCCAAGTAGACTCGGCCACCCCAGAATAAATTTTAGATTCCTAGTGATTTAAACGAGCTCGTGTGGGGGGGGGGCTATGTCCAGCGGGGCTTCAAAATGAATATTTACGGATGGGCGCTTTTCATTACTTCGTGGTGAAAACTACTGTATGGTGACAAACCAAAACTATTAAGCTTTTGTATAGGTAGACACGAAGTCAATAGAATAGTAATGGCGCACCGAAGAAAAATAATTTGCAACCAACCAAAACGAACGCAGAATCGTCACTGTGCCAATATTACAACTCGTGGGCAAGAGAAAATTTAAGAAGGGATGGCATTAGGAATACCATAGGAAACATCTGAACGATCTCCATCAGCAAAACAGAGAACTATTCTAATAAGAAATCTATTACACTTGGATGACCTCTAGTGGCTAACAGAAAGAACTAGGTAAAAGAACTGTAGTACTAAAAGAATAATTCACATCTTTAAACTAATGGATTTCCGTTTTGTGAATTTTTCCTAAGGGATAGAAGGCTATTTACATTAGATCCATGTAACGTCTTAGTTTTAATCGCTTATAAAATACACGATTTAAACTTCTACCTATATCGCACAGACTCTTTGTCGCACAGAAAATTTCCGGCTAGCAAAATGTTTGGAACTAAAAAAAGTTACAATTTGATACTATGGTATTTTTACGTATCTCCAGTTGTTTTGGAGTTACCTTAAAGAGAATTTTTTATGAAATTGCAGATTCGTTTGTCACTTTTAGCTCATATTATTTTAAAATTAAGTATTCTAAACTGGTCAAACTCCTAGAATGTATTAATAGTTATTTACAAGTCAGGAAAATGACACATTACTGGCGAGGAAATATTGAAGTACGAGTCCCTCTTGGGGCCGAGTACTTTAATTTCCCAGTCAAGTAATGTCATTTTACTGAAGAGTGTTGTATTAAATTTGACCCGAAATCGTATTTTAACATAAAATTTCAATTTTCATATAGAAATTTTGATTAATGTCAATCTGTCAGTGATGCCAGGAGTCATTATAGACATTTAGCGATGTCACAGATGCGGCCGGTAAAGTGACGGTGCGGCAGAAAACGTAATCTGCTCTGCCAATGTAATGGAAACTAAAATTTCCTGACAGGGAGTAGGCATGAAAATAAAGGTTTCATAACGATTTTGAGTAATAATATATAAATAACAAGAACTGAAACAGGGTAACGACCGAGGTAACGACTAATCTTAAATAGGATGATAATTAGGGGTTGTTCTCGTTGATTTTTTTCGCTGAAAAAATAGGATTCGGCCTTATTTTCATCATAATGCTCAATTTTGCTTCAAAAAACTTTTTCTCGAGGAATAGTTTTCCCGTTATTTGACTTTGAAACTCTAATTTGGCATTTGGCGAACATGAGCTAACCTTTAATATACCATAGCTCTGTTATTGGTCATACTCGTACAGCAATCATTTTAAAAGCTACATGTTGTTCTTCACAATTTTTCTGCATACTTTTTGAGTTTTTCGCGAATAACCAATTAGAAACAACTTTTCTGCAAAAAAATTGATACCTTTTGTCGCAAATAACTCGAAAAGTATTAATTTTACAACAAAAATTTGTAACACAATTGTTGCTTAGGATTCATTTTTCTATCTATTCCTGTAGTCAAACTATATATAATTTAAAATATTCCATCCCCGAGATGCCACCCACATACAAAATTTCAAGCTAATCCATTAATTTTGAAAAAATTACCTGGTCAAAGCCTTCGTTTCCTTGATTATTGACTCCATTCAAAAATTGAATTGATTACCTACGTTAGGTAGGTACATGGGTGGTATTATGATCACATTATTTGTATGACCTTTTTATTCAGAGATTAAAATTCATGATATATTCTAAGGGGCAATAAAATCAAGGAAATAAAATGAACTACGACGTTACACGACATTGACTGCGACACTCATTAAGCAAGGTAAATCGTTATATGCAATAAAATATAATATTCATTGGAAAGTACTAAACATTTTGTTCTCTAAAAGATTTCATTTTCAACAATAAGAGAATCGCATTACTCTTTGCATGACAGCACAAGCACGGATATGATATTTGTACATAACAAAAGCAAAGGCCGTCCTTCACGTTTTTATAAGATTAAATTGATTGTTCATTATGTAATTAGTGGTCGTATCGTATAAGTATATGTTTACTTTGTAAGGTGAAGGTTATGTACTGACCGTTTCTGTTATCTACAGGATTTTTAACGAATTTTCAAATAGTATGAATCAGGGTAAGTAGCATCGATACAAAAACATAGTAGGGGTTTCAGTGACAGTGTTTTTGAAAGTCCTTGCCTTTCAACTTGTGCCGTACATTCAGGATGAATGCCCTTAATTTCTCTGCGAAAGGAAGAATTACAAAAAACCGTAGGTACCTTTAGTAAAATTAAAGCATTTTACTTCCTAGAAGGCTAGAAAATGGCCTATGAATACTATTAACCAAGGGGATGTTACGGCGTAATTTTTTATGGTGGCGAGCCATCGTAATTCGCATGCTCATTTTGAGAAAAAAAGCCTTGAGTGTCTTTCCGTGTTAAGTTATTTAGAACAACGACTTCGAGTTCAATTACACTACTTACACTATAATTAGTCAATTACATACTGTACGACGTACTACGGATGTCTCATCTCGTAGGAAATTTATCATATCGGAAACAATGACAGAATTTGCAACGAGTGTGTCTTGACTATACACTTCCATGTATGATAACCACGTTTCCTTTTGGGCCCGTTTAATTGTTTAGGTTTACAACTTCGAATAAAACAGATACGTTGTGTTTAGTATACGATAGAAGTACCAATCGCCCGCCAATTCATTAAAATTACATGGCAGACTTCTGCGCAAAGTAATCAAGGCTGACCACTCATTTCTCTTCAAAAGTAGCTCACGAAATTCTCGTATAATTATTAGTTGGCAACGCGTTTGCGAAACTCAGATGTAGCTGGAGATATGTAAGTAATTAATAAATTTATAAATAAACAAATCAGTCGCCCTTTATTCTCAAAACCTTGACAACCCGATGATGATCGTAATTTTAAGAGCACTTGACTGATAATTAAATGTCTAAATACATCCAGCGTCTTATCCTTTGTTCACTTTTATTGCAGGTGCTGTAACGGCAGGAGCAGCTAAAAAATGACGTTAAAAATCAACATTGAACTGCCCGTCTTTCTTTTATTTTTTTCGTTAAATTTCTCCGGTAAGTTCCAATAAGTTTGAAGTAATAATGAAGGACTTATGTTATAGATTTGATTACAAAAAATTTCGTTATATACAGTACCTGCTACATTACTTTGAAGTACAATCAGTCAGACTGTGCCCTTTTGGGCATAAATTACACCGACAATGCAACTGCACTTTTGGAGCAAAAAGTGCAGCCACACGCAGCTGTTATTTTCACATGTTTCGGTATTATCCAGGTGTTCTTCGCGCCTATTATGTGTTTCCTTCTTGGACCATGGAGTGATAAATATGGACGTAAACCAGTTTTGATCGCAACCCTTGGAGGTGAGGTTCGAATGATTGGGAATTGATATTCCTTTGTGTCTGATTGACTGAATTACTATTTATAACTCTAATTATTACCTACTGTAGTGAGTAATTTTTATTTATGGAGAGGTATGGTACGAAGACCCAATATTTTCATATGGGAAACTTGTGCGTTGTTCTGATGATGACGAGGATGATGATGAGAGATAAACAGATAGGGCGGTAGATACAGACCAAAGTGCGCACATTGGATTTGTGCATCCGTCTTTGTTGGTGTGGGAAGCGTTTCCCTTTAGAATTATTGTTAGTATTTAATCTAATATTTTTAATAACAAAAGGAAACATCTACATCGTAAAATTGAGATTTTTATTAATACCAATATGGAACAGTAATGTTGATGATAATCTGATGAAAATTATCGGTAAAGACTCATAAGAGTGAATCTTTTAATAACTTTTATTCAACATTATTATTAAGCTTCCATACATAGAAAGTTCGCACACATGGTACCTACTTGTAGCTGATTATTGGTTTTACAGTATTATCATTTTGCGATAAGGGGACAATGTATTATGATATGACATTGAAAAGTTAAAAAATGTGTCAATCGATATCAAATTAGGCCGTACTACATGAGAATAGAAACAAATATTGCACATCCATCATCGCACATTTTTTTTGTATACTTTGTTTCACTGGTGCTGAACCTGACGTCATAAATGTGATTCTCTCTTCATTACATTTAAATCGATTGAGACAAAAAACATTCATTAACGTAAGTCGTGACAAATAAACCAATTGATCTGTCATAATATCAATCCGTCAAACGATTTTCGTTATAGACAGATTTCCAGTGTTGATTAGGTAGTTTGTGTTAAAAGTGAAGTAAATATCATCAAAGTTAAAAACGCTTAGGCAAGTCGACAGTGCAGAAACGCCGTTAATAGACAAGTATTTTAAAAATTTTACCGCATAATGGTTCGATTCGCTCATATCATGAATTTAGGTCATTCCCGTTACCATTAGGTAAATATGACGAACCGATACACAGAATGAAGATGTTCGCTAGAACACTTAGGTATTGAATTGATTTTATAGGTGAGAATGTTACACTCCGTTCTTTACACAGTAATCTTCAACGACTTGATGGCGTAGAAATATCTGCTACCTCTTTGTCCCGCAGTTTGAAGAAACTGAAATTCACGTGGCGGAGATGCACCGTTTCCAATAGATTATTTTTAATGGAACAGCCCTATGCAGTTCAAAGAAGACTACAATTTTTGAGAGACTTTAAACACAACGAAACTTCACTCTTTCCATTACGACCTGTGGTTTTAGACGAAACCTGGATATACAGTAAAGGGTCTTTTAGAAGAAGCTGGCAAGATGGTACTCTCAAAACAGTTAGAAAAAGAAGTGGTGAAGGGGTCCGGTATATACCTAATACTCCATGCAGGATCAGAAGATGGATTTGTGGTGTAGTGTCGTTTTTTCTTTTGTACATACGATTTTAATATGAACATTTGAGAGTTTTTTCTTCACTACCTGGTTTTCTCTCACAATTGCGTTTTTTTTTTAAATAAATCGGATCAGAAGATATTCAAGATCCTTATGCGAATATCTCGACTGTGTGGCAAAAGAGCAGAAACTGTATGTATGCGTTGTTATTTCAATGAGCCAGTGGTATAATGACTACGCTTTATCTCAAATTTGTAAGATGTATAAATGCGAAAGGCTTACCGATAAACCATGGCCTATTCTACTTCTGCAAATGGCTAGTTAAGGGCCATTAAAATTCGCGCAACTTAACGCGTATTCTTCACATTGGTAGCATACTTAATTTCACATCAACATTATGTAAACAAAATATTAATTTACGAACTGCCTAAACAAACTTTAAGTTACAAATGTTCCTATGCGTTTTCTGTAACCATCAAACACTTCATCTCAAAGAGTTTCGGATGCTCTGGCAGTATCCATTTGGATTGTCGGTGCAAAGAATCGGTTACATGAGGTGATTACAAACGGTGGAAAAGGTTTAATTCATACCAACGGACTTCCTCTACATAAAATACATGACCATTTAGCCATTATAAAACCTAAGAACAGGAAAAAACCTATCAGGACCAGATGCCTTACAAGTGATTGTCAACTTGGGCGGTTTAATAATGATGAACGATAGTGACACCTTAATAAATAAGTTGAAACGTCAATGTGACAATATGTAAACCAACTACTAATTTACGACCTGCCTTAATTTTGCTATGACGTCAGATAGTGTGACGAAAGGTTCAGCACCCTTGAAACAAAGTATATATTTTATAACCTTCGGGATGTTCCGTGTTTTTCCTTATTTTTCGAAACTGATTTTTTACCATGCCGACGTTTTTCGTATTTAGGTTTTTTATATCGTTTAAATTTAAGGTGATATTTAAGAATTACCTACACTTCGTTGTTCGTGCCTATAGCCGAGTGAAGCACTCCTCTGCATATTTATTGCTGGGTGTACAATACAATAGTACAAAAATGTGTAAATGTCAGGCAATATTTCAGGGTTATACTACTTATCACATATTCGTCACTGAAAGTAACACAATGAAATTTAATTGTACTTTAAAATTTTTATTTTACAAATAAGCAAACATTCCTCAATCGCAATCCTCCACGTCTTCTTATTTATTTTAAAATTAATTTTGGTCGACTGTAACGTGTAGTAACACCTTATCAAATTAAACAAAGTTTCGCACATCCATATCGAGCCTGCATTTATCAATCAAATACGACACCATCTGCAGCGTGACCTGCGCTTCCTATAAACATAAAAAAATACATAAACCAAAATTATGCGTGCTATCACAGCATTATCTTATGTCTTTCCCTAGACATTTGTTTCGATACAACTTGAATTAAAACTAATATTTCACATTTATGAAATGGAATTGATTTTTTAAACGAGCCACTAGGTCACTGTTATTACTACGGTATTACTAAAAAATTTCTCAAATGCCGTCGGCTAGCCCCTATTATTTTTTACCAAAACTTTAACTCCTAATAACTTTGCTTTATTCATTTATTATTTATTTATGCCTTTATTTTTGAATGGGCGGGGTTTCAGCCGAGGCTGCTCTATCAACTCAACCCATCATACATTTACAAATATCCGTGCCCGAACCAGGCATTTCGACTTGCCTCTACAGCCCTCCAAAAAAGCAGCATTCGAACATACAGTAGGTACCCAACATTTTACTGCGATATTGTAAGTGCATTGTAAATGAACAATGGAACTGTAAATCTTAAAATTATTTGATTCGGTTAGAAGATTTCCGGTACCTAATATTGAATGTGAATGGAAAACCTTCTTCTAACTGAGTTCATGCAAGACTATTGGTGACAGTAGATAGTTCATAACAGGTTAAAATCGACGAGTCCTTAGAGGATATTTTTAAGTACTTTTTTGTCCAAATTCTAATTCGTCAAATTCTTTAAAGTATCTACGGAATGAATGCAAATAAAAAAACACACTTTACCTGAATCATACAGCGTGTAAAACTACCCCTTGAGACGTCCAACCAATTTTTTTTCTTATTGTTCCCCAACTTTGCACTTCCTTAACTTAGCGTGGAAAACATTTTTAAACGTACGATTTCACGCACATAAAAGTCTGGTCTCGCGCTTACCAACATTTGTCTAATTTCCAAAATTTTTACGATTGCCATACATTCTTCGCTTCTTCGCAATTTACAAATGCCACGATTTTAAAGTTAACTCTAATTTCATTTTCAGGTTTGATGATCTCATCTGTACTTAGAACAGTGATCACCGCAATTCCAAACATCTCACCATGGTATCTTCTCATAGGTCTACTACCCTCCTGCATAGTAGGCGGGCTGCCTGCAGCTATTACTGTCGTTTTATGCTACATAGTTGATGTCACCGACGAACAGGAGAGGGTGGTTAAAATGTACATCTTCGAAGGATTAATAGCGATAGGTACTATTATCGGAAGTTTGACGTGCTCGGAAGCCCTAATTACCTTAAGTTACGCCGGAGTTTTTGGAATTTCCACTCTTTGCGTGGTCGTTGCCTTACTTTACGTTATTCTGTTCGTTCCCGAATCGGTGCAACACGTCCATACGGAAGTAAGTCAAAAACATACTTCCTCCGACTTTCGGTCAAACCGAAGCGTTTTAGGGCAAACTAAGAAGTTTATTCTGCCTAACAACTTTCACCTCAACGGTCAAGACGATCATCAAAAGACGGGAAAATTATTCACGAGGAATACTGATAGGAATACTTGCGATAATGACATTTTCGATATTCATACTACTTGGGGAAGGGGAGATTTTGTTTTTATATTTGCGGGAAATTTTTGGTTGGAACATGCAATTATACACTTTTTACAATAGCATTGTTGGAGTCGTACAAATTTTTGGCGGTATACTATCCGTTTGCTTATTTCGAAAGGTCATGCGGCTTAAGGAAACCACAGTGATTGGCGTCAGTTTCGTATTTTGCATGATGGCAACTTTGATGCTAGCCTTGGCGCGCGAAGACTGGCAGATCTACGTGGGTAAGTTCGCCACTTTTTTTTCTGAAACCGGAGTGAAGAACTATTTTCGCTCATAAAATTAGGAGTGAAAATTGCTCATTTCAAATCAAGATGTATATCTCGTGATGAAAACTCGTCATATGACCTGTGATTTTAGGTGGTACTTTAAAGTTTATGGGTGTAGCAATTAGTCCGATGGCGCGCAGTCTTCTTTCCAAAGTAGTGCCGAGTGAAGAAACCGGAAAAGTTTTTTCTATGCTAACCGCTTTAGAAACAGTAGGGGCTCTATTAGGAAATACAATTTACACGGCTATTTACAAAGCGACTCTAGACCTATTTCCTTCCGCATTTTTCTTTGTTAGTATTGGAGTTGACGTAATCATTTTGGTGATATTAAGGTAAAGTGGTATATTATGCAATGTGCATGTAATGTTAATTTTTGTTTCAGTGTGATAATTGTTTTGCGACGATATGACAGCCAAGCCACCTATGCTCCTATTGCTAAGGAGTAGACTGTTTAACTATATGTGCAGAATGTTGTGGCACAGATCTAATACTTAACAACGCAAAATATTTCTAACGTCGGTTTGTGTGTTGATAGGGTATATTTAACAGTGAACACCAAGCCGCAAGCGCTGATGGCTAGATGGAAATCCACAACGGCACTAAAGAATTTACTTACAGTGGCCGATTTGCAGTGTGATAACTGTGTAATTTGGTATTGGCTACCATACTTACGTAAAATTATTATTAATTTATCGACCGTTATTGTTAAGAAGGAATACATTTTTATACCTATGATACCTACTAACCTACTTGTTTTGTTCTTAAATTTTCCTAAAATCCGGTACCTACAACGAAATACCTAACAATTCTCAAGATCTTCACGCATGGATGATGTTTACAACACACCCTATCCCACCAGATCAGCATAGCTTGTAAAACAAATTTTTTAATTTAGTGTAATATAAAGCGCGGTTTAGACGCTACGATAAATTGTAACAATTTATCGTAACGATTCGATCGTTACGATTTATCGTTGCGTGTGAACAGAGGATTGTAGCGATTTATTGGAATTGGAATGGGATTGGATGGTTGATACGGCCGGCTTCAATTTCTGCGAATCGTAACGATAAATTGGAACGTGTAAACAATATCACCGACTTATCGCTACGATTTGTGACTATGTTGCCGACGTGAACCAGTTTTGTATACATTTGGGCTACTTGGACTGTCTCTAGCGAACACGTTTTACATTTGGAGAGTGGCGATCAAGTTTGGCCACTCAAAAAAAATATTTAGCGACGCATGGCTACTCAAAAATCATAATCGAGATTAAGATTCTATTGTAAGCAAGCAATGTAAGCAATAAAATGCGAGTATAATTTATATTAGTGGACAGAATCAAAAGACAAGTTGAAAAGTAAAAAAATAAAAACTGTATTAAACCGTGATCGACAATGAGATTGGAACAAGAAATCGTTACCTACATGTAAACAGTACACACTCTTTTGATTTATTGAACGATAAATTGGACAATCAGATCGTTACGATTTATCGAAGCCAAGATCGTAGCGTCTAAACCGCGCTTAGTGTTACTTCTATTTGAGGTGCCTAATAAAAAAATTTGAACACTTAACAAATGAAAAATCTGATTGCGCCCGTGTAAAATAAATTTCGGCATTAGTTTTACAAGATCGGTTATAATTCCTTACCATTTTGTAATTTGGGGGGGGGGGGGGCGGCGTCCGTTGAAGGACACTCGACGGTAAAACTAACTATAATGAATAAACCGATACAACGAAATATCGAAGGATCCTCAGTATTACAATCACTTTTAACGACAATTTATTTTAATCTTACAAAATACATTTTATAGTTAACAAAAATGCATCAAATTCATGTCTTGGGCTTTGAGATAATGCTCTTGGTTTTTTTCCCAACGATCTTGGTGCATAAATAACGATTTTGACATGTTTTGATCAAAATCCATGTGGTCCATAAAAATAGATCAAATTCATGTTTAGATCATTGAGATAATGCTCTTGATCTTTTTCCCAACGATCTTGGTGCATAAATAACGATTTTGACATGTTTTGATCAAAATCCACGTTTTCGCCAAAAATTCATCAAATTCATGTCTTGGGCATTGAGATAATGCGCCTAGTCTTTTTCCCAATGATCTTGGTGCATAAATAACGATTTTGACATGTTTTGATCAAAATCCACGTGGTCGCCAAAAATGCATCAAATTCATGTCTTGGGCATTGAGATAATGCGCTTAGTCTTTTTCCCAACGCTCTTGGTGCATAAATAACGATTTTGACATGTTTTGATCAAAATCCACGTGGTCGCCAAAAATGCATCAAATTCATGTCTTGGGTATTGAGATAATGCGCCTAGTCTTTTCCCAACGATCTTGGTGCATAAATAACGATTTTGACATGTTTTGATCAAAATCCATGTGGTCCATAAAAATAGATCAAATTCATGTTTAGATCATTGAGATCATGCTCTTGATCTTTTTCCCAACGATCTTGGTGCATAAATAACGATTTTGACATGTTTTGATCAAAATCCACGTTTTCGCCAAAAATTCATCAAATTCATGTCTTGGGCATTGAGATAATGCGCCTAGTCTTTTTCCCAATGATCTTGGTGCATAAATAACGATTTTGACATGTTTTGATCAAAATCCACGTGGTCGCCAAAAATGCATCAAATTCATGTCTTGGGCATTGAGATAATGCGCGTAGTCTTTTTCCCAACGATCTTGGTGCATAATTAACGATTTTGACATATTTTGATCAAAATCCATGTGGCCTCAGAAAAATAATTTAACATTTTTGAATCACACACATGCGGTTATCAAACGTGCACGTTATCAACTCTTTCAGCATCAAGATAATGCGTTTGAAAGCTTTTACAACTCTAAATTCAGGTGTAAAGAATAATTTTGGGTACATTTTGCTCTAAAACTTTTGACCGAGACCACAGAGAAGAGTTATATTGAATTGTTACACATCTAAGAGTCATAGGGAATAATCTAGCGAAAGTCCGAACTCGATACATGACCTAGGGAATGAAATATGTTAATTTTTATTATATTGAGTTCGCAGTTTTTCCTGTTCCCGATTCACTCGAAGTCGTATAACTTTTGTTCCTGTTGAACCAGCTTCCTGAAAATCAATAGCGTCCGTTCTTAATGTCCAACGTACCCGTATACCAAATTTCAACACAATCGGCCACTTTTAAAAAGAGTTAGAGCGCACACGGACGGACGGACGGACGGACGGACGGACGGACGGACGGACGACAATACAAAACTATAAAGGATCTGAGGATCCTTAATAAGTAATCTTACTCAATGCTATCACGAAGAATTATCACTCATTGCCGGAGATCCTGAGGGCTCAAAGATGACGCATCCCTAATCGAGGGTGCTAAAAAAATACTATCTCAATGAACTTTGTATCTGGGATTAAACACCACCAATGGTGGATGATATGGTACATTGGAAGACTGTATTTTAAAAAAAATTACTGTTGTGTGAAGGTGGTGGAGGAAAAATGAAAATGAGGAAGAGAGGTCGCATGAAGTGTGGTGAAGAAGTGATACATCCTAGTCGTATAAGAAAAACGAAGAAATACATTGCATGAACTTTAATCGCATTGTTTCCTAGCAACTTCTGGGGTAACAAAAGCTGATAGATCCGCTGCATCATCCGGTAAGCAACTTGGATTGATGTTCCCTCGCCAAATACCCACCAAACGTGTAGGCGTAATAAACTAGTTCATCTCAAGATAAATATAATGACCTGCTCTTCTTTAATGTTTGTTGGGATATCCTCTATCAACTGTATCACGTTACTAAAACGTGATAACGTACTAATTAACGACATAACGAAGAATAACTCTACATTTTTTATCCACTACGATAACCTTCACAAAAGCTATCGAAATTCGCATGTTATTTTTTAGTCCATGTGGTGGTCGATTTGAATGGAGAAATCATGTTAACGATTAGTGGTTCCCAAATTAGTTTCTATGGTTACAAGTCAAGCGTACTAAATCAGATTTCGGTGATTTGGTTTAACAAACTAAATTCTCTGCTGATAACCTTCTTTATATTGTTGGTCAATGATCAGTCAGTTAAAATTTTCGCAATTTAAAAACTATCTACACTTTCAACATTGATTAAAGAATATTATATTGGCGGTATTTTAGGAACCAGCGCTAACATAACGCAATATTTCAGTCGGTAATATCTTAAATTATCACGATTCTTCCCTGGTCGATTCCTCGCTTTCCATGCTAACGTAACCTCTCCTCCGATGGCGGTTTTGCATATACAAGATTGCGCTAAAAAGTTAAAACATAAGCTTAATGTAGTTTAACAAAGATAGTTACATTGTTAGGATAACTTCGAACAGGTAAATTCCAGCGGTAACGAAACAAAAAGTTTGTGGGTATGTTGACAAAGTCAGATTATATAGGTAGGTAAATAACGAATTGCCAATATGGCCTATAATGGACTCCAATGCGACTATCAACCCCAATACTTTTCCAATATCCTTCCGTTCTATCAGCTTGGAAAGTAGTAGTCTTGCCATTGGGTTTATGGCTCCAACGAGACATTTGAAGCAGCCAGCTGAAACGGTTACGTATACTGTATGGCTTTAGTTTCCATTACTTGTAACTTACACATGTATATCTGCCAGTTAGCCGTGGCCAATCCCAATAGTGTGTAATAGCAGGTTGTTGTAAGAAACGCGATAATTAAAACCACGGTTTCTTTAACCCGAAGCACCTTGTTAAGGAGAAACGCGCCAATAATGCTTCCTACCACCGCCACAGTACTTTTGAATGATGCAAACAGGGTGAACCTCTGCAAAGACCATCCAAAGCTTTGCCGTAAATATAAAAATAGTATTCCATGATCCGAAAATCTTGCAACTGTATAGAGTAGCATAAGCGCCATTACGGAAACGATCATCAGTTTGTCGTGAACATTGCGTCCATCGAAGGTATTGTTCATCGTCTTTTTAACCAATGACAATTTAAATATTTTGAACTTATCCTGAAACGCGTCGGTTATGCGAGACTACGAAAAATTGGACATCCTACCTCCGTTTCTACATTTACGACAGATTCGTCAAGGAGAAACATAATATAGAATAAGGCGAGAATTGAACACCCTATGCAAATTACGTATATTCCCAAGTATCCAAATGCTCTCAACGCGAATGAACTGCAGGAGTTTCCCAGCAAGATCCCTATCGTGAAAGCCGCCTCCCAACTTCCTAATCTGGAAATGAATCGATTAGTCTGTTTTAAGTCTAATTTATACACTTACCGAAGACCACGGTCTTTCTCCTCGGTAATGTCGGTTATATAACTGACACTCGTGGTGATGACTAGTGGAAACCCACCCGTAAAGCAGATGGGAATTAGTGAAAGTAAGATCAACCACGGTGATGACTCTGGTATTGCACTTATTACTATCATGACCATGTAAGATCCAATGTACCCTATAAAAAAGATAAGTAATAATATAATATATAATATAATATATAATAATAATAATAATTTATTGCCATAAGTTTTACATTTTGTAAACATTAGCATTGTCAGAGAAAAAATAAAGATTATACGAAATAAAGATTATACGAAATGGGCGTTGTATAGGGTTAGTCGTGTTAAATAAAGTTTCAACAAAGAGGGATTTTTTTTTACAAACATTACTAGGGAGTATACATATAATGCAGGAACAGTCATTATGCCCAATGCAGTAAAATGTGTTCTAGCAGATGATAGTGGTTTTGCGCCAGAAATAGCTCTTATTATCTGCTTTTGAGCGATAAATATTTGCTGAGAGTGACTACTAGAGCCCCAGAACATAATGCCATACAGTATGTGGCACTGAACGTACGAAAAATAAAACATTTTAATACCATTTATAGAGATTTGAGTCCTAAGACGCCTTATAAGGTAACAGATTGAACTTAGTTTGCGCCTAAGCTGATTGCAGTACGCTGACCATTTCAGTTGAGAATCTAATGTAACTCCAAGAAACTTTGTTTCATTGCTTTGTGGTACCGTTTTGTCACCATTGCGCACATACAATGACCACGCATTATTTTTATTTTTTATATATTTATTTTTATTTTAATTTTAAGTAAAAAGTAGTCCAACCAGTAAGCAACAGGGTATATAGCGTTAGCTTGGGACACATGCAAAGAAAGAGATTATTGGTGAATCGGAAAGTAAATGTCTCAGAATGAAATATTTGTTAACCGTATCTCAATGTGATAAATTTTTTTCATTATCCGTAATTTAAGTTCATTGAAATTGGGGAGTAGACATACACATGTGTACATTTGATACAAATTTGAAAACAAACGATGTTAAAATAGTCGATTATGCCGGAATAATCAAGAGTGAGGTCTAGACGAGTCTAGAGATATTGAAAACATCAGATCTCAAGGGCTTACTGAGATTTAGGACACTTAAAAATAAAGGTATTCAAAATTTAATTATGTTTAATTAATTAAATAAATACCTAGACCAGTATAAATGAATAGATTTATTTCTCTGACGTTGGACTATTAAAGACCGGTCTTTGATGTTTCAGACAAGCTTAACTGACAGATCACATCCTATGTCAATGCATTCATTCCCATGAGAATGACGGATAAGTTTAACTGAAGCACGAAATGAAGTGTACTGGTACTGTGTACCTACTAAACGTAAATGGTTAGGAATACAAGACGGCACTTATACTACAAATGGTCAAATATTACTCAAAAGATTGGCATTTTAAGAATTAATTGTCATAGATTTGTTAAAACCAAACTTTGTTATGTACTACTTCTTCCCATAGCAGGTCAATCTCGTTCTCTCACGTTTTAAGATTGCCTAGTTTAATTAATTTCCAAAAATTACTGAACTCGGGGGAAATTGTTCATTCAGATATTGCAGAGAGGCATAATATGCAAGTGCAGTAAACAAATAATAATAACAAGCCAAGAAAAAACGGCACTTGCACGATTTACAATTAAAAAAATGTGTTACATAAATTATATATTAAATATCTGATAATGTAACCTTGATCAAATTCCAACTTTACTGTGACATTGATTCTGAAAGCGTTTATTATTAGTAAACAATACCTAAATTTTAGATTAATTTTAGTGTAGTCATTTTACATATATAAATAATAAACAAATCATAAAAAATTAGACTTTAGGTGTCACAACTCTGTTTTTCGCTACCAAATGAGAAAAAAATGTGAAATTTTTGGTACAGCCCGTTTATCTATGCCTTTTGTCAGCGTCAACATTTAGATACTCGAAATTTATTACATAATCCGGGTACAATTTTTAAAATCGTGTTTGTAGCCAGTGCTACAAACACAGTTAACAAATTCTAGACTGCTTTGTTTCATATTGATTACGTTTTGGGTCCGAAATTTTGGAATTCTCAGTTGCCAGTTCAAAACCTTAAGAATTCAGCTATCAAAAACCTCTCGAGACGCTCAACTTCATATATCTATATTTAGTAATTGAATAATGGGGCATGTAAAATTTGGTTAAATAATTTGGGGCCGCTAATCTCATACTATGAACATATTAACCCAAGAATAAACCAATTCGAAGACTAGTATTAAAATTCAAACACTTTCTAGTCTTGGAAAAATACAGCAGGCTCCTTTTTTTCTCACCAGGTGTTGGCTGACACCAACGAAATCATTTAGTCGCTACTATGACTTTTTTGGTCTACCTATCGCTCCGCTTTTTATGATACCATTCTACTCCATCCGGTACTCATCAGAACATTTTAGATGTCCCATTACTACATGATTTTACAGGCTCTTCTTGGCTACCTTTCTTTATTTGGTACCATCAAAGTCAATCATTCCCCGCCATTTTCGTCGACATCCTGCTCATTTTAGTGCAAGGGAAATTCCATTACGTGATATTGTTTATATTTACTAAAGAATTATCTCCGAATTAGGTAATTGAGCCGACTTTATTTTTTCAGGCAAGAGAATTGAGTCAATACCGATGAATCGTCAATTAGTTATAATTAATTGCAAACGATACGATATGTTCCAATTAAAGTTCATTATCCAGTATCGCATTTATACATCAGTTAAATCCATTGAACTGCCAATATTGTGACCGGCTGTAAAGTGCACCGTAAAGCCGATGTCCCGCAGGCAACCCCTCAATGTGGAGAATGTCTGTCTCTCTTTTTCTCATAATGAAACAGTCAGCCAAAAAAGCGGTCACAATATCGTGCTTAGTTTGAAAATATACTAAAATCAACATCACTTAGCGATTTAGGAAGGAGCATATTTGCAAAGAATGTTCAGAGGAAGGGGAATGTAATGAAGGTAATAAGGTATCTTACTGATAAGGCAGCAACACCTGGAATTGATGTACCTACAGCCGAACATTTTAACAGAATATTTTAAACATACAAGAAGATTAGTTTATTATATAAATTGTCACTTTGAAAACGAGTTACCAGTGCAGCATATTTTTAGAAAAATAGCAAGTAGCTATTTATAACAAAAGTGAAATAAATATAGTGATTAGGTAAACATCTTAATGCCATATTGCCGTCAGTGTAATATATCGATAGATAGTGCAAATGGTTTACACTATTTATTTACAATTCAATTAAAAACCATCGTTAGAGAAAGAAAATGAAGATAGCACGAGAAAAAAAAATTTAAAAATTGAATAACGGCTTTGACGCACCACATTAATGCGCGAGGTCGATAATAAACCTCAGTTTTATCACTATCGAATAGAAATAATAAACAGTGATGACCAATTTTTAGCAAATACAATTTATGTAATTATAGTACTGACCTATGAAGCTGCTTAAGAGAATTGGTTTCCGTCCATATTTATCGGACCACGAGCTCAGGAAGAAGCAAAAGACGGGCTGTATGAACGCATGGATAAACGATTGGCCCATCAGCAAAATAGCCGCATAGGGTTGCACCATAGTTTCCAAAAGTGCAGTCTCGTTGCTCTCGTGCCCTGTACCCAACATGGCACAATCTGTAGCGTTAAAGCCCAACGTGACGTAACACGTTTTATACAACACTAAATGAGTACTAATAGTATCTAAAATTAAATTTACTAGCTAAGTACTACACTTTGGAAAAACTAAGGTATAAACTTACTCTCAAACATCACAGCAAAAGACAGCAATAATACTGGTATTTCGATATATACTTTGCATCCCCTCGCTGTATCTCGCATCATTTTTAATATTATTATCTATCACAGATTCTAGCACTATTATAAAAAAACTATTTACTACAAATTAGCATTTTTTAACAGTTTTGACACCCGCGCGTTTTATAGTAATCCACCTCGGGTGTGCATCTGAACTTTTATATACTGTAAATTAGATAGTTTATCAAAGGTCGTGCGCGATATAGAATTAATTATTATCACCCTAAAATTACAATAACATTCTTGACATGAAGTTTTGCAAGTTCCGAAACTATTTTTCGCATGTCTAATTTGAAACGGCCTAATTCGTGTAACTAACTACCAAGAGTTTGAATGTTAACTGCGACTATAGTAAAATGTTTAATATTCTATTTTAATTATCGCCATAAAGATAAGGTAATATCATCGTTCAACGCATTTACCTGATCGAGTTCATGTCCAATTTATTTATCCAAACAAGGGATGCAACAGTGCCTTTCAGAAGAATATATGGTTAAAATTTCAGCAGTTGGGAGTCTGCACGTAACCATGCTTTGGTATGAATTCCAAAGGAAAAGGGGGCCCAAAAAATAATGTCTTCACTCTTCAGTTACTGATCAATTAACTTCTTTGTCAAAAAATTATTGCTCAAATTTTTGCAGCCAATGGGTTTTCCTCCTTTTGGAACTGAAAGCTCTCCACTTAGACTTACCCTTGGAGTCGTGGCCCTGCAGGATTTCTCGGTATTCGTTTTGGTAACACCGAGGTCGTTACAGCTTGTATTACGTCTTATGTTTTCTGCCAATCGTCCGAACGCTCGCTCACTCGATGACTTCAAGCCTATCGATTTAAAAGAGAACGGATGGACCGATTACGATGAAATTTGGCACCTGGATTCTTTATCAAATTTTTAGATCGGAGTTCGCGAAAAATAAGGAAAGCTCTCTTGACATCTCCGTTTGTTATGAACTGAATTTCATGAAACTCAAATTGGAAGTAGCTTTAGCGATATCATACACAATGCCAAAAGTTTATCCTAATCGGTTTAACATTACCAGTGTCTTTTTAGCGCATTTTTGCAAATTTATTTGTAAAAACTTCAAACGCGAATTGCCGGTGAAAGCAACGTCGGAAGTGAGTATACCGACAAAGGGAATATGGTAGCCCCTGACGAGATCTTACTGATGGTGGAGTGAAAAAGTCAACTTTGTAGTTCAGTGCCATGTCGCGCACCGTATTGTGGGATGTCATACAAATTTTATTACATAATTAATGTCAAAAGCGTTTTTGAGTCACAAAAAGGGACAACTGTATATCTTACCGTTACAGATACCAATGGTGAGCCATGAATTTGAACCACCCTGTACGTGCAATTAAGTTCATTCTCGTAAACTTTTTACGTCTTTATGTGAAGGGAATGCGAAATCAAGTAAAATTTAGATTAATAAATAAATTAAATTAAATTAAATTTCCCTTTATTGCCCAACAGAAACACAAACATTCCAATTACAGGACAATATGACGTTACAAATAATAAAGTGTGCAAAAGTGAAATATTAGCTTAAATCTTAATATAATAATACCTTATTGTTCTACATAACAAAACAACCAAAAACAAAACAAAAGAAAATTAATAAAATGAAAAACTATGAATGCATTGTATGGTATTGTACAATCAACAATTGCTTTAACTCCCTAAGGGTGTGAAAATTTATATCACCTAACCGAGAAATTTTGTTGAATGTACTGCACATGTGAAACATCGGCGACTTTAACATTAAATTAGTACGGGCGCTCTTACAATAAAATGTAACAACATTCCGAGTGGCATGAAGTGGAACCGAAAATTTGATCAAAGACATCAACTCAATGCAGTCCACCTTATTCGACACTATATTGTATAGAAAGGTCAGTCCGAGAACTAATCTCCGAACTTCCAAAGAAAGAAGTTCAAACCGTGCGTTGAGTAGCGAGTTATCATAGCCTTGAGGAGGGTAAACTCCATCGCACTTAAATGAGAGATATTTCAATAGTCTTCTTTGCACAGATTCAATTTCATGTTTCATATTTTTATAGTGCGGACACCAAACTATAGCGCAATACTCTAGCTTAGATCTAACAAAACTGATATAGAGTAATTTTATTAACGAGATGTCCTTAAAGCTTTTTGTATTGCGAATTATAAAACCTATCATCTTCATTGCCGAGCTGGTGATATTTCGAATATGAGTGGTAAAAGATAACTGATTGTGACACCCAAATCCACAGCAGCAATATCACGATTAAGAACAGTATCTCCACATCTGTACAAGTAAGTAATGGGTTGCAATTTTCTTGTATATGTGACCACCTTGCATTTCGATGTATTTAAATGAAGAGAGTTAGCATCACACCAATCTTGAACGATCCGTAATTGACTTTGTAAATATTCACAGTCACCAATCCCATGAATACCATAAAAAATTTTCAAATCATCGGCATAAAAGTGATGTGTACACGGTATTTTAGTTGATCGGTCATTTATAAAGAGGACGAACAGTAGTGGCCCAAGGTTAGACCCCTGGGGCACACCTGAGGATGCAGAAAACAGTTCAGAATGATAGTTGTTGAATGCCACATATTGCACTCTGTTAAGCAGGTAAGAATGTAAGAAAGATAGCATCGATTCATGAAAACCAAAGTCTCTTAGTTTGTTAATTATTATGGAATGATGAATACGGTCAAAGGCCTTGGCAAAATCCAGTATAGAATAGTATCTACTTGGCCTTGATTATCCACAACTTCAGACACATATTGTGTAAAACATGTCAGATTGGTCACAGTAGACCGATTACCCATAAAGCCATGTTGGTATCGCGAAATGTATTTATTAACCTGAGGATAAACACAAACACCTTCGCAAAATTAGACAGTATGCTGATAGGCCGATAGTTGTTAATTTGCGACAAGTCACCAGATTTTAGAACGGGACAAATGCGCGCCTTTTTCCACAAGTCAGGAAACGTATTAGTTCGTAGAGATAGGTTAAAAAGTAATAGTAATGGTTGGACCAGCACCCCTCTACAATCCTTTATCAGGAAACTTGGCACTAGATCGAGACCAGCCGTGAATTTGTTAGGTAGTTTGCTTATTGCCTGGATAACTTGCGATTCTAAAACACTACCGATGTTAATGCACGGCAAATTGTTAAATTCATTATCCTTGTTTGCACTATCATTGTAACCATCATCAGATAGGTAAACACTGCCAAAATACATAGCAAATGCGTTGACAATTTTTTCTGGAGAATCATAGCACACATCGTTATAATACATTTTGTTGGGTATCCTTGTGCAACCTTTTTTTTGACGCACGAATGACCAAAATTTGTTAATGTCAGTGTTCATGGACCTTTCAATACTGTGCACGTAATTGAGATACTCCAATTTAGTTTGTTTTTTGATAAGTAGCCTAAGCTGCGAAAACTTTTCGTAGTGATTAGCGTACTTATTTTTTTTATATTTACGAAAGTAATAATTTTTAAGTTTTATGTTACGTATTGTAGCACCAGTCATCCACACTGGATACTCCTGGCATTTTTCTTCCGTAAAGGTACATGGAGATTAAATAAATGATAAAGGACATTGTAAAACTCTGTGGTAGCTAGGTTAACATCCGTATAATTATGAAGGAATGACCAATTAACGCTAAGCAGCGCATTATAAAGACCTAGAAAGTCTGCTTTTGAGAAATTATAGCTAGGATTATTTATATTAAGAGGGAATTTATTTCCAGAAGCATATTTCAGCTGCAAAGTAAAACGCAGGGCCGGATGGTAAACATCTTCTTTAAGTAATGGCACCAAGTCACGCGTTACTTCTGTGTGAATATCCGATAAAACAAGATCCAACAGTCTCTTATCTACATTTGTAACAGTGTTATATTGTTTTAGATTGAGTAGATCGGTTAGATTATATATCGATTCTGATTTACTATCATCATAACCATCGTTACTGAAACTTGGGATGTTGAAGTCTCCCATGATTACTATGTTTTTATCAAAGACACTACACACTTGTTCAAGATAATGGGTACACTTAGTAATGTTATTCAGTGTTGTATTGGGCGGAATATATATAACAACAACATACACTGTATGCGAATCAAAACAACATTTACACCCCAACATATCAATTGATGGAACAGTTGCATAAAATTCTGACATATCAATGCGATCAACAGATGTACAGTCTTTAACAGCGAGAAGCGCACCTCCTCCCCATTTTTGTTTAGTTACCTCGTATTGACGATCAGATCTGTCAACTTTTGTACGCAAACCACGAACGTTCTGAAAATAGCACTCTAAGTCAATTTTACTGTTGGGCAAAGTTAGTTTAACGAAACTAGGATTAGTCATAAAGGGCAAAATATGAACTATATACATCATCCATTAGTAGCTATAACGGTATAAGCTAAGCGATATAATTAATGGTACTCGTATAAGGCATCTTTTCAAATGAACCGCACTTTCTACTAAAGGTCCATAATTTATTATCGTTTTATAACTAAACATTAGATCTTTATTTCATTTTGTATTTTATATTTTTATATAAATGAAAGTTTGTTAAATAAGGTCCTATGGAGAACGAAACTGTAGTCATTGATGTTTTTAGTAACATCTAATCTTTCTTCATTAGCGCATAATGAAGTTCTGCGACTTCTTGACGTAGGTATTTTTTGCCTGGAGTTCGAGACACGTATAGGTGCCATGCCACATATGTACCTACTGAGATAGTAGTTTGGTAGAAGACATGATTTAAGACTAATCCTTTGTATTTCCGTCATCTTCATTGACCAGTAAGTTGTAATCTGGACGCCTTTCTCTATACACAAAACTGGCAATTCTAAAAGTACTCAAATTGTCACTCATATGGAAAACGTGATCTGTATACTTACATGGCCACAACCATTGTTAATATGTAAATTGCAGTAGTTACAAAGGTGAACGCTTGAGGAAGAAATAGTATGGTTTGATTGTATACGTAAGTATTTAGAGCTATACTGAGAAGTAGAGATACCGTACTGAAAGAAACTAACGCAGCAAATAACCTTGCGCTTTCTTCCTTTGGTGCCACTTTAGACATCAGCGACTGTGTTAGAGGTGACACACAACTACCCATGCTTCTCAGAGTGGCAGCTGCAATATCAGTTAATAAATGAATCAGCAAGTAAGCAAAACTCCTTACCTCCATAAATGTGCCAATTCTTTGAAGCAAATCCTTGCATTAAGGAACTGGATATACTAAATATAAGAGCGAACATAATGGCAACAATCTCCTTCACACGGATTGTCTTTACCAAAATGACGATGAAAGCAAAACAAAATGTTATCCAGGTGACCGTACTAAATGCAAGAAATAAAGTGTATCGTTCCAATGTCCAGCTGAAGTTTTTGCGCAAATACAAGAAAATAACGTTGGTGTCAGCAAATCTTCCTCCTGTGAATATCGCGAATATGCCGAAAAGACACCATAAAGTCGTTCGGTCGTTATTCGCCCTTCTTTTGAAGAGTACCACCATCGATTCCTTCACTGGAGCTACGTCGAATAAAGCGTACCATTTTTTCTATAAATGACAAATGTAATTATTAAACTTACAAACGGCACATTACCTCATTGTCCAGGATCTCCACGGACTCTTCTATGCAAAACCAAGAGAAAATCCAGCTGCATAATTGGCATGTGACGCATATTAAGTAAACTGTTTGATACCCAAAAGAATTAAATATGTAAGAACACGATGAAGTGCCAATGAACATGCCAATATTGACTGCGCCCTCCATAAGCCCTAATCTGAAACATGGGAGTGAACACCACCACTCATTTAGAATCGAAATCTTTACCTTAATCCTCGACTTCCTTCGGGGACGGTGTCTGATATGTAACTCAAACACGCAGTCATTAAAGATATGTTAGATCCACACAGACATAGGGGAATTTCGTGCAGCAAAAAATACCAAGGCGAAATATAAGATAAGCTACTTACTATCGCCATTATCAAGTAAGACAATAGCAAACCGGTAATTCCAAGGAGTAGTAACGGACGTCTCCCATGTTTATCCGACCAAGACGCCAGAAAGAAACAGAATATAGAGGACATACACGCTTCGATCACAGATCTAGTCACAATAATACGCGTTGCATAAGCTTGCACTTCGGTTTCCAGGTCTGTTGTATTGTTATTCGCGTATTCATCAGTTCCTAACAACTGGCACTCATTTTCGCTGTATCCAAGGGTTGCGTAACAAGTTCTGTACAATAAAAAATTGGTTGTGATGGACGCTAAAATCATACATACATGGTAGACACAATTACTTAGGTGGAAATATACTCACATTCCATCATAAATGAGAAACCAAAAAGTAGGTACGGGATTTCCACCCGAATTTTCGCATGCTTGAACCAATTGAACATTTTGACTAGGAACTTCGTTTTGTATATGCACCCTTATGAAGTTGAAATTGTGTACCTGTGGAACGGATTTTGTACCAATTTGAAGCATACAAAATTGCATTTTTACACGTTTGAAAGAATAACTACAAGGTAAAACTAGAATACTGAGAATAAAGAACTTAGCTTGTCTTTACACCTAATGGTAAAAAACCGTGAAACTTTTTGATAACGTAGTCTTGGGACTTAACTTGAGCAATTTTCGATTTTAAATTATATTAATTGATTTCCCTTCAAATTTCAGGAGATGGGGTAAAATTGAAAAAATTCTGTTTACTTACATATAGACTATAGAGAAACTAACCCTCACTCGTGGGGTATGCAGATACAATGATCTGTGCACTACGAAATCTCGTACACTAATAGGCTTTTATTAGGTACGATACAGTGTTTATTTCAGTCTTTAGAACAACATAAACTATGAACAAGTTTATCGCAACTTCCCATAATGCTGTGTAATTCTATTAAAATTAGGTAAGTATGTACACATTCTTATATCATTTGGATTATGATTAAGTACCTTTTAATTAAAAACTATTTAATTTAATGGCGTGTTTATTCCCTTCATTATATTGGCAACAATAATTTTGTGTAAATAGGTAATTTGGAAGTTAGTACACAAACAAAGTATGATCTACATTGACTACGAAAACAAAGTTTTCTGTACATTTTGCATAACTTACTACACATATTATAATATAGGAATAGGTATTCAAAGAAGCCCACGAAGAGGGATTTTTCTAACAATTTCTTTCGATAATTAGAATTTGTATGGAAGATCATGTTTTCTTGATTTGTTTGATTAGCAACTGTTTAGGCAATCGCCTATCCCAGAATACGAGAGTGGTCCACCTCAATTGTCGTGCAAAGTATTGCTGTTGAAAGTTTTTTTTAAAGTTTAGTTTCGTTCAGTGGTTGCCATCTTAGGATAGGAATTATGGGAACATTTATTAGAAAGGAAATACCCTAAAACCCAGGCAAATCTTTTAGCTCCATCATCTTATGTGTTATCGGTTACTGGAATTAAAGAAAAAAACGCAAATGTTGGGAATCTAGTAGTCAAGCTTCCAAACGAAACATTTTGCACCTCTAGTTTATTTGGAAAAATGCTTATTTTGGACCCCTATACCACCTAATTTTTTTTGACATGCTTTATTATTCCACCCTTTATGATTGATATACACAATGCGGAAACAAAATATGAACTACACTTGATAGTTTGGCATTCCTCAGGCTTTATAAAAAAAAAGCTCTTGCTCTAGTGCGACTCCGCAGACTACACCTGCTCATCTCAGGGTGTAAATGTCAATGGATGGTTTAAGGGAATAAAATGTGATGGCTACGCCATTCAAGGTGTCAGCTACCTATCGCAAAAAATTAAAGGCCTCTAGGACATTCCCCTAAGAGTAGTTCAAAACCGCAAAAGTGGCAAAGCGCAAACAATAGCACATTTTTAATGCCTAAAAAATGCCCCAAAAATTATATGCATGAGAATAAAAGGAAATTTGCAATAGCATTATTCCCTGACTAAAAACATTACTAGCAGGCTTTTACTGAATGTTAATTATGGATAATTATGCCATTATGGGGGAATTATTAATTAATAATAAATAATGTGATTGAATTTGTGAATTTGATTACACACCACTGCTATTTATTCGAAAATAGTAGTGAATCAGTGCAGTCATAGTGGATGAGTGAATATTAATATTTAAAAAATCTTATTTTTCATTAAAAAATATTCTGCGAACACTAGTTTGTTATTTCTGAAAATATTTTGTAACAAAAGAAAATCTAGAAGTTAATGTGGAAAACGTTGTGGGATTTAACCCTGAAAGGTAGGCAATACATGATACGTAAAAAATGACAAAGGCGCGTGAGTATTACTAGCTATACTGGCTATACATTATAATTTTTGGTACATTTTTGCTAGCAAAGGAGTTTATAGTTTCACTATCTGTTGGGCGCCTTTTATGCCTTTTATAACCAAGATCTCAAGAACGGAACATCATTAGATCGTGTAACGAACATTTTGACTTAAAAAACTGATATTTTTGCATCAATTTGGTTCGCAAAACGTTCAAGTGGGCTGTCTCAATTCCCAAGAAACCAATTTCATACATTTTTTAGTGACGAAATGTATATTTTGACCAACTGATCACCCGCTTTGTTTAGTTTTAACCTTTGAATATAGTAAATCAAGGGTTTTAACTTATAGATCTGCCACAGAACAAATGTATTTAATGCTCGCGATGACAGATCACACTCATCACAGAATTCATTAATTCAACACTGTTTTTTTCGTTCCTTAGGCAGGTAGAATTTATTGTTTAACCAGTGTAACCAGTAGGTACACTTTAGACTTAACAGCTTCGGCAATTGCTTTCCCTCCAGTTTAAAAATCTCTCATAAGTCAGATGCAAACTTCGTAACTATGGTTTTTGGTTTTAACCGCCACATCTCAAAAATAGTTATGTATGATTTCACTTTGTGAGTCCATTCATACCGTTTATAACAGTATAAGAGACATGTCAAACGATATATCACAAACCCAATAACTTCCCATTTAAATAGTTGGGGGTTGTAACTGTCACTCGAAGGGGGTTGAAAGGTAATTTAAATTTGACATATTTCTGGATTTTCTGTAAGTATGTCACAATTTGCATTAACGGATATAAGTAGGTTACGGTTGGATGAATGAAGCTGATTTTTTTAGACTGATGATAGGTACTCTACTACCAATGACCTGAGGCGGCAGACTCTCGATTTTTAGCATACTCGGATAGGGCCAAATGGAACTCCATCGGTTAAAATTTTGATCATTCTCGTTCAGTGGATTTTGAGCTAGCTCCCCTACTAATAAAAAAGAGAGTTTTAATTTAACAAAATAAAGCTTTTAAATGTTCAAAGCCGAGAATGTGGGCTTGTATTTATTATGCATTTCTATGGCGTTTATATTATGAACAATATCATCAATTTTTTAGTGACAGTAAGTCGCGAATGTCAATGATATTATTCAATTATGGGTTATTAAGGGTCACTATGCAAATGATTTCTTGTACACCACATTTTGAAAGTGTCTGTTTAACGCATTTTTGCAAATTTATATTTCTAAAAAGGTAGCTTATTTAATCTGACTTGGGCCAGCTGACTGGCAATTTTCCCCTATCTTCTTCTACAGTTTTGGTCCGAATGTTTTCCAACTGTTGTCGTCGGAAAAATCTGATAAACGCACACAACTCCTGCGTAACGGATTTTGCTTTTTCCTAGGGGCGACATTAACCACATTTTGCAAGCACGCGTCTTCGATAGGTAGTCGCTGCTAATTTTTTCTAAAAGCCGGCTCTCTTTCTCGTGTCGTTAGTAGCTTATACTGGCTGCACTTTCTCGTCTATCCGCCCGTCACACGTACTACGACTGGACCGATTTGGTCGATTTTAGGCTCATTTGAAAGGACTTTGTGTAGGATCCCGTGCGTACCGATATGTTTGATTTTGCGTATGTGCAGTGTTAAAAATTTAGGTTAACGCATGTGCAAGGCTAACTTTTTAGCGTATTTTTTTCAAAGTGAAAAATCGCCATTGGCTGCGTCCGTCCGTCCGTCCGTCACACGTATTCCTTCTACACCACTGAACCGATTTCGGCGATATATAGGGCTCATTTGAAAGGGCTTGGTCCATGGATTCCGTGCATCGGTTTTTTTTTGGTTTTGCGCATGCGCAGTGTCATAAATTTGGATTAACGCATATGCAATGCTAACTTTTTTATTTATGAAAATATTTAAATGAAACTTTGTATGTAATAACTGCGAATATAAGCAAAATTAATAGCGTTTTCAGAATGTAACACCGGTCTTAAAATTTGGTTTGATATGTAGACAACGCTTCCATAGTCTAATTTGGAGCGTATTAGACTATGGTATATTCTGAGCAGCATTGTTGTGCCCCCCATTGGTGATGAGCTAAGGATTTTAAGATATTTATACGTTTTAGGCATTCAACTTTTGTTTCCTCAATGTGGTCTTTCCAAGTAATCTTGCTATCAAAGATAAGCCCTAAAATTTTATAATTTTTTACCACTTCTAGAGCAACGTTGTTCAAAGTAATATGCGGAATATAGTTTTCTCTTTTGCGACTAAACTTTATGACTTTCGATTTTGAAGTTGAAAAATGAAATCCTGTTCTTCTGGTCCAGGCATGTAAGCTGTTGAAAGATAATGGGGTAAGGATCTCGTGCCTACCGGTATTTCTTCCTGGTTCTAGCATTAATATCAGGAGGAAAATACGCTCTCGGCAGTTACCTATGTTTGCATAATGACTTTTTAAACTTGTTATTGATTAGATCTCGAATTTTTGATTTTCGAGTTCAACCCTATCACGTACCTATATAAGTGAATAGGGTCACTCAGCACTAGAAAACAGTGAAAAAAATGTGATTTTCCTCTCTAGTGAGGAAATTAACAAACCGTGTACGCCATGTACGTGCGTCAAACTTCATTATTGCATACGATAATTATTCAATTTTGGTTGTAGTTTCAGATAAAATTATATGCAAAACTTGAAAAGAGAGTGTTTTGAAACTCTTGTTCAAACTTTTCACTGGAGTTGAAAAACTTCACTTTCTTCTCTACTTGTACAAATAACTATTTCTACAAATTTGTGAGTGGTTTTAGTTTAATGGTAATAGACTTGAATTATTAATGCAGGGTTTTACGGAAAGAAAACTTTAAACGCTATTACGAACTTGGAATTCCTAATTATAATCAAATGTGTATATGCTTGCTATAATCATTTCCTATTAATTCCTATGAACTTCGAACCAAACCGCTTAAATTAAACGTAGCCATAAGTAATTAGGCGAACGAATCCATCAGTATATTATATCGGTGGTGTTTATTAGGGTACATTAGGCCACGATGAAAGTAATTCAAAAATTTATTTGGAAGTCCAGATATTTCGAGTGTCTATCGCGATTCTTCCTCAGTGGAACCACTGTGTGAAACATGTAATTTAAGCAATTGTAGCAATTGTATTTAAATTACATGTTTTACACAGTGGTTCCACTGAGAAGGAAAAGTCGCGATAGGCACTCGAAATATCTGGACTTCCAACTAAATTTTTGAATTACTTTCATCGGGGACTAATTTACCCTAATAAATACCACCGATTTAACCCTAACGAAGGCCGATTACTTCCCGTCAAATCAGTATATTACTTACAACACTAAAAACTCAAAAGGATGGTGAGCACCCCAACATACAAATAAAAGTTTCGTACAATATAAACCGGTCGAAATACCGCCACTACCTGCTGGAAAAATAAATTAACGTCACTTAACGTGTCAGTATATTGAGTCAGTTTTACAGTTATAGTCAATAAGTAATGAGTGCTGAATGCCATCGATCGTTCCGTGATTGCCTTGATTGATTGTCCATTGTCCAATGCTGCCAAGTATGTGAAAAGAGTATTCCTCAAACATGTTTACGCTAATTGGCTTGTAGAAGTACCATGTTTGCGCAAATGTGTTTGTGCGTGATTAGAGCGGCTTTAGACAAGAAAACAAACGAAAGTTAGAGCATAGCATTCCAGGTAATCAAGCACTTGGATTTGTATGTTATTTACAAACTGACCACAATATAATATGTAATACCGTACAGCTCTTTGCACACAATTCCAAATTTGGGAACAGTTACATTATTTCTTCTTGGTAAATTTCGGAATGTTAAATTTTTATAGGAAATTATATTTAAAACATATCGACTTACCTACATTATTATAAAAAAAGGATTAGATAAACCAATAATAACTAATAAATGTAATAATTACGATTGAACATATAATTTAATAAAATTCGAAAAAATCAGCGTACAACAATTAGATTAGGCGAAATCGATCAATAATGCAATATGTTACCTCAGTGAAAAACTACCCTTTGGAAACTCGTCTGCTTGCCACTTCTCGAGAATTCCATGTTAACCCTATTAGTTGGCAGCATTAAATTTAATCATCATTTATTTACTTAATGTAAAGATTTTAAGTAACGATTGTAAGTAATCGCGTGCATTAATTACGCATTAATAATTTAGCCAGTTTGTGTTCCTTGTCGCTAATGTCTGCTATATTTTGCAAACTTATAGGTATATAATTTCCTTTCCATATATGCGGCTGTGTAGGTAAGCATGTAGTTTTTCATTTTAACTTCATTCAAAACGTTATAATCACTTTGCACTCTTATCAGCAGTAGTAAATATAACTGTTGGGTAATATATTCCACATTAACTTACTATGCGTGTATAACAGTATCGCTCATTTCAGGATTCAAGTGACAAAATACAAAAAATTTGATAATTATTTTTGTGAACGTACTATTTTTGAAAAAACCTGAGAATAATCCAAATAAAAGATGGTTGTAATAAAAGAAAAATTTGTCGTTTGATAATTAAAATGTGAACATCCCAGCTATCAATATTTATTTAATTTGTGAACTGATGTTTTAGACTCTAAGCAAGTACCTAACTCAACTTGAAATTATCCAGCAAGAAAATGACTGACTGTTTGAGGAATTTCAAACTTCACGTAGAAGTACTCTATACGCTCCTAGGATTTTCCATGATGTTTGAGAGTACGTATCACTTTAGTAAGTATTGCTAACATTCCCCATGTCTTCTCTTGCAGATTCTATAACCACGAATTTTTTGTTGTACCGAACTTGCTATGTTACGCTGGAATATAACAGAAGCGACTGTGATTTGCTGGGAACAAAATTCGCTAATAATGACACGAAGATAATGGAGACCAAAGTGGAAACTTATGCAACGTATATTATAATGTGTAGATCTATAACTGAAGCTTTTATAGCGCCATTGTTCGGTTTTCTTCTAGCTTCTTGGTCAGATAAAAACGGAAGACGGCCACTAATGCTCTTTGGACTTACGGGTACCTATCTCTCGACTAAGTTGAATTGTGTTTGTGTCTTTAAATTATAGGGGAGCCAAAATTTTCATTGAATTGAATTTTGTAGGTTTACTGATGTCTTACCTGACAATGACGATAGTAAGCTCGCTTCCTTATGTTTCCCCATGGTACTTTTTGTTACACGAAATACCTTTTTGTCTATGTGGATCGAAAATAGCATTAATGACAGGGTGCTTAAGTTACATGTCGGACACAATTCCAGAGCACAAACGAGGCATAAGGTAAGATTTTCTTAAAAAATAAAATCAAAAATCTAGGTACATTGTCTAGATTAGGATTTCTTGAAGCTGCAGCTAATCTGGGCATGCTGGTAGGAACATTATCTTCATCGTATGTGTTTACTTCGTTTGGATACAACACAATATTCCTCACATGTGTCGCATGCCAGTTTTTCTCGTGGATGTTTACATGGTTCTTCATAAAGGAGTCATTAAACGTGGACGAAAATCAGGTACGCAGCAATACAAAAATTAAAGGCGTCGGCAACGCAAGACCCACTCCAGTGCATTTTTCTATGTGCCAGACATAGCCGCGTTGATTTTTCTTAAAAAGTAGTTGTAGTTTCAGACTTTGGAGAAACATGGTTGAAAAATGCACTGGGTTTTTGCGAATATTTATCGTATCATGATCATTCTTATTCGTAGAGACAGTGGACAACCTTATTTAGACTAACCCCCATAAAGCAAACCATGGCGATAGTATTCAAACGAAGAGAAAACAATGATCGTGCCCTTGTGTTATGTATTTTTTCCGTATTCGTCACATTTATTGGCGCAAAGTATTCCGATAGTAGTATTATTTTCCTATACCTGCGAAAGGAATTCAGTTGGACCCTAGAAATGTACACACTATTTGTAGCATTTAGTTTAGCCATTTGGATATTAATGTGTTTAGTAACCATACGAGTCTTTGTAAATATTTTGCGCATGAAAGAAACAACTGCAATCATAATGGCTCTTACTTTTAATATAATGGGTTACTCTGTACAAGGGTTTGCCAATAAAAACTGGCAAATTTATGGCGGTAAGTGAATTTGGTGGAATAACACTTTGTTATGGAAATATATTGCAGCCGCTGGTCTCCTAAGCGTCGGAAGTTGTATACCGCCACTGTCTCAGTTGTTGTTGTCAAAAGTGGTTCCGAAGGATGAAATCGGAAAATTGTACGCCGCTCTGGTTTCGTTTAATTCTATATCACTACTTCTTGGCTCCACGTTTAATGCTTACGTGTACAATCAAACAATTTTACGCTTTCCTCAAGGATTTAATTTCGTTACGGCTGTGATATGCGGGTTCGCACTGATAGTGGCAATGTAAAGATTATTTATTTTTTAAATTGTATAGTTACAAAACAATTATTTTAGTGTTTCGAGTATTCTTTATAGTAAACGTGGAACTCCTCGCTTTCATATTTTGACCAATGAAGAAGATACAAGGAATGAATGAAAGGTTTTCACTCTTATTTAGTTTCTTATATCTACTCTACTGGTAAGTTGCAACACTGTAGTACCGCCAATAATGTTAATCTGTTGTAGAAAAGTAGTGAAAACTCTTCATTCAAAATCACCGTCGAAGCGCAGAACCGATGTATTGGGATTTTTTTTGTCTTATTTTATGTATAATATTGTGATACCTCCTTTCCTCTTGTCGTTTGTTCAATTACAAGAATATTTCTTGTAGTCTGACTTGTCTTGTGTGTTGTCTTATTTTATACCTACGTTCCTTATCTCATGTTCATTTTTGGAAAAGGTATAGGAAGCATCTGTGACATTTGAGGAAACTAAAGATTCCTAATAAGCTGAAGAATTATGTAAAATTGAACAACGTAAAAATAGGAAACTAATCTCGAAGAAATGAAAGATTTTGAAGAATCCAACGAATTTGGAATCTGCAAAATTTTAAATTGACGAATCAAACGAATCCTGAAGGATCGAAGAATTTGAGGAAACGAAATCATTTGAAACATCTGAAGGGTTCAATGAATCTGAAAAATCTCAAGGAAAAATCGCAGTTTCGAGAGAATCTGAAACGTTCAGAGTAATTAAGGATTTTGAAGAATCTGAAGAAACTATAATTTCAAAACGTGAGAATCCAACCGACGTACTCGAAGTATTCGAAGGCTCCGAAACGAAGTATCTCAAGAGCTTGAATAGTCTAAATAATTGGAAGAGACGGAAGTATCCTAAAAAATTGGAGGGACTAGAAGAAATGGAAGCATCCAAAAGATTTTGAAGAATGCCAAAGTATTCAGAGATGTAAGTTGTGATAATTCTAAAAAAATAAACAAGAGTCAAGAAAAGCTACAATAATTCATAGGCTATTACAGTCTACATGCTGAACGTTGCTTCATGTTCACTTTACTTTTTCCTCATGTTCTAAATTTTGTATTTCACTCTTTCTCGCATTAAAGTGATAAAGTCTGTTTTTTTAAATTTTTAGTAGAATACTATTCGTTTTGTGACTTCACATTTACCCATGTGGGGGCGGGAAAGAATACCCCTACCGCAGAAGTCACTGCGTGTCGTAAGAGGCGACTAAACAGACACAAGTTATTGCAACCCTAAGTGGAAGATGGAACGTTTAAGGCAGCGTGTGAACTGTGATTTGTTGTAGCGCAACGATTAGGGACCTTTAAAAAACGCCTCCCTATGAAATAACTGTTATGTGTACAACTGTCTTTTATTGATGTTGAGAATGAGAGGCGAAGGTTATTACACACTAGATACCCATCAATATTCGTTTGAAAAAAGAGAGCAGTTATCCAGACCCATTTCTGGATGGACGACGAAAAAGAAAATCACATTAATACTTGACAACGAGAACCTCGATATCTATTGGCGAATCGATTATTATTATCAGTATACGAGATTTCAAATAGGTAAAAGTTATGATAGAATGCAGCCCGATTGAAATGAGTCAGAGGGGAATCGCCGGAATAATGAAGAAATAAAAGAAATGTGGCTATATGCTCTCCGCTCATGCTGTTCCACCGGGACTCGCGAAGATATCATATGATAATAACTAAGCATCGGGAATCTGTTACAAAGTACACAAGTATAGATTGTGCAAAACTCTTGTGCAGATAAAGCGCATTTTTTAAGCCGCAATAGCTTAGTAAATGCACAGATAAATGTAAATGGTTGGGTTTTTTTGTTTACTTTCTTGGTATATGATTAATGGGGAGGGAGCTCTTTACACAGATACGTTTAAAAGCCGCCTGGCATTCATTCAACATCTCCGACACTCCGTTCTGCAGATGTTTGCGCTGAACGTTTTGACATCACCAATAGGTCCTGACGTCCCACTTGCCCTTTATGAGTACTTCTTCCGACACTTCGTTTTAAAACGACTTCGACTTCACCAATAGGTAGATATGTCTCGTCCAGACGATTCATCGTACTTTTGGGAGTACATTCCTCCAACAAACCGTTTTTGAGATATTCACACTCAAACAGTTTGGACATCCCCAATGATATATTTCTTCAGACCTCAAAATCGCCCATTGTGAGTACGCTCCTTCCGTCTCCGACAATCTGTTCTTGCGATATAAGGAATTATATCCGATCACGAGAAGGGGGACTATAATTGGTGGAAACTCCATGGTTTGGCATCACTCAAGGCATGCGTATGCGAAATCCAAATAGTTTTCAGGGAATAATTCATGCCCCTCTTCCCCTTAAAACAGCGAAATTTGATGGCCGTCTGGCAACCTACTGGAAAAAATTCCAGGTTTACTGCAATGATCCAGGTTGGTTCCCGCCATAGCCATCCCTATAAATAATATATGATCTATTATGTCTTATGAATAATCCGCCATTGGTTCACACCAAGCGAGCTTGACGATGGGGGGTGATAGAACCAAAAAACCCAAATTTTAAATTACCTGATCACTTGTCAATTAATATACCTACACTACAGAACATACAATAACCATTGATTAGCCTATTGTGCCTTTATTTGTGTTTTTAGAAGGACGTGTCATTTTTATATGCGCATTTGACTTCGTTTTATTCGAAATCAAAACTTCAGGAAAATTGCGCACTCAATCTAACAAATACGGGTTCGCTTACAATTTATGTGGAGAAGACCTTTGGTTTTCAACGCAAATCAACTGTGTAATTATTATAAAATTTGCGCATAGTTGCAGTATCTCAGTCTCATACCTATCACATGTACTGGTTTTCTATTTCAGAAAAATGGTTACGTTATAACATCATTGAATAAAAACACTATGTTTTTATTCAATGATAACATTGAATAACAATGTTCAAGAATCAAGATCGAGTCCCGCAACCAGTGTTGTAATAGATACTTTCATTCTTGGATCTAGGTAAAGATACAGATACAACTTAATAATTGTAACTAGATACCAAAACAGATACCCAAAAACAAAAAAGGTCTAGATACAGTTACAGATACTTTCTTTTCCATGCTTGATGCCGGTAAACAGTTATCGACACCCCTCAAGTAATAAAAAGCGTTTTATCATTTGAAAATATAATTTTAATACCTACATCATTATAACATTGATTACCTAATGGAAATGGACAATAAAGAAAATAGAAAATATACCTAAAATCTTAGACACAAAAAAAGTAACTGAATTGTAAATACAGATACAAATTTTGAAAAGGCTCTCAATATGTATCTAGATACTTTTTAAGTATCTAGATACTGTATCTAGATACATCACAACACTGCCCGCAACTTGTATTCATAATTGAATTACTTGGTAACGAATGGGTTTTAATTGTGTTATAATATAATTCAATGTGCTACCCGATAATTTGCCAAACTGCTTAAATTTATGGAAATCAATGATAATGCATAGGCCCGATAGCCCGTTGATATTTTGTTGTGCCGCCTCTGGTTCAGTTGTTGATGTCCTCGAGCTCAAGCACAGATGGCGATATAGTCGTATATCAAAATTGTTTCATAACCTAATTTTACAAAGAAATTGTTATTTGTATATTTATGAATAAATACAGAAACGATTAAAGCATGACCGAAAAAGAAGAAGAAAAGTCTATGGACTGCGTTTCTGACCAAGAAAGAGAAATCGCCCAACTTGCATTATCAGAATTTCAAAAGTACAGGCACTTATCCTTCCTCATTACTCTAGCATTACACTTCTGTTTTAGGGGCAACTACTCCGCGTGCCTTCAAAATATACACAAATTAGAAGTTCGAACATTTGATTTAAAAGTTGCTCACAATAAACTTGTCGCAGAATATTATAAAAATGATCTACGATCCACCGAAACATTTCAGAAGAATCTTGCTGCCTTTTATTCACAGGTAAAAACTATACGCTTGCATAAAACAATGTTCATACAAACTTACGTAGTTTAAATTACGACTGGAGAAACTAGATGATGTGGATCATTGTGTCGCGCATTATAATCAAGCCGTTCTGCTTTACCATCAAAAACAATACACGCAGGCTATAAGAATTATGGAGAGAGTGTACAAATTTATTGAACCAATGGGTATGTACCTATCTGATAGTGTGGAAACGAATTCAAATGATGCTGTTACAGACGAAAACTTGGCTCAACAGGTTGGACTACTTTTGGTTGAATTGCAGATGAGCACAAAGCAGTTGGACAAAGCCTCAGGACTGCTCAGTTTTTTAGAAAACCAATTGTTTCATAGCCATCCTGTTATTCTAAAACAAGGCGAAAAACCTGCTAAAGTGATTGATAAAGATAAAAAGGTACAGTTTAATGCCTATTTTTTCAACTCAAGTAATCAATCTTGGTTCTTAGATGTGTACAGTTTCTAGCACGACAATTGATCAATTTAAGAAAAAATTACAGATGTATAAGGCCAGATGTTTTTTAATGAAGCATTCACTTGGTGCTGCAAGTGAGGAAATCGAGAAAATTGAAGAACAGAGTGAAATGGTAATTTTATTTTATTGTAACTTTGTGTCCTGAAACCCTATAGGCATGTGTCATTAATGATATATACAAGGTTTTGCATAATAAGTAATATATTATATAAATTGTTGATTTAGAGACAATTTCTACAGTACTGTGGCAGATGATCCCCGAGGAAGCTATGACTGAAACAATTGATGCAATGTAAATTTCCCTATGGCCCATTTTAAATAATTCAACGCCTGTACATTGTCGTATGGCTCATCTTAAAAAAAAACACAGTGTATGTCTATGTTTGCTCTGATAACAAATTTGATAATCAGACCCGATACATTTGTATCGAATGATGCTAATGTTAAGTTTAATGGAAAGGGAAAACCTAGTCTACGAGTATTTAGACCATCCAATAATTCAAAAAGTTAAAAAAATTTTTAAATCTATATTGAATTCTTTTAGTGTTATTTCTCTGGAAAGAGAATTTAATATGTTATCTTTTTAAATTAAAATATACAGGGTGTTCCATTAAGAACTAGGCTAGGCCAGATAACTTTTTATACTTATTCTGACCCCAGCACACTATTCAACAATTATTATAAGGAAACTGGTGTAATAAACATTTTTGTCAGCATCTCTTTAACTAAGGACCATTTTGAAATTGACAATTTTTGGAGATTCCCCTGTTCCCCTGTATCTATTAAGCCAGGGAATATTTTCAAATTCGAAGTTTGACCCATCCAAAGCATATGACATGTTACTGTTTGGATAGCACCAACAATTACGGAGTGTCGAAAATATGTACAATGGAAATATTAGTGTTGGTATTACCGTTAATGCAGTCACTTATGCAGCACTTACGAATATTCTGTGCGACAAACTTTGCCGGGAAGTCCGCGCACAAACGGTTACTTTAAAAATAAACGGTATAATTTAAAAAAAAAATTTTAATTAAGACAAGAAAATACAATGGGGGTTTACAGTATAGTTGAATTCCGCAGTTCTAATTTAATAAGCGTGTACCTGAAACCATAAAACATTTTTTTGGACAGTAAAAGTTTATTTAAAAATAGAGGCTGATTATCAAAAAAATAATGAACATGTGCGGTTTTAAAGGTTTATTCAAAACGATATGATTGTGGCGGGCTCTGTGACGTAATAAGCCCGACCAATCAGCTCTTAGAACCATTCAGATGACATAACCACTTGGCAATATTGCAGGAGGCATTTATAACTTGCGTCATCTGTCACAGACACTTGTCACTTTCGTGCTAGATGCAGTTAAACATCCCTCTCAAAACGTCAAATGTGACAAACGTCAGACCCTCGCGTAAGGTTGCCAGCTCACTTCTACGTGATTGGTTGTAGGTTTGTGACGTTTTTAGTCTGAAGCGTTTCAAATTCGGACTAAAAACACAGCTTTTCAATAATTTATTTTGGGTTTATTTTACTCGCAAATAAAAATTGAGGACACACGGGTCTTTTTATTTGTAATGTACTTTGTGGATCAGAAATAAAAAATGAAGGCGGGAAGACCCCATTATACGTAAATTTGAATTTAGTGAATGAAAATGAAAATCTCACCGTCATATTGAATAATACACAGGCATAGAATAAATTTGATCAGCAAATCGGGGTTAATTCATCATTGGTTGATACACCCACGCTTGCGTGTTGCAAATTACATAGGGAAAAGGTAACAAACAGAGACAAACAATTTTTTAAACGAAAAATATTAGATTAAGTAAAATTTGAGTTGCATGCAATTAATTTACGTGCATTACCATATTGGATGAAACATATTACTTCGTGCTTAATGAAAAAATGAAATATTAAAAGTACATCAAACAATAAATCAATATCACTTTGAGTTATTAAATAACAATTACATGGTATACTGTGTTCATTTCAAGATAACCATCCAGTCAAAATGTCTTCGAGTTTTTATCAGGCGCTAAAACCAATGTTGTTGCTTGGGAGATTCTCGGGACTAATTTCTTTTGAGTTTAATGAAAAGTCGTACAAAATATCCAAGCTAAATGTGTATATTAACATACTTATTGATCTTGCTTATGCCTCTTCGGTAACATACAGCTACATAGCGCACCGTTTATATAATCAACAATTAATGCTACGTACGATTCATATTATTAAAATCATTCTCGCATTGATACTCGTTTCAATATCGTGGATTTTTAGCGCGCGGTATCAACAAAAAACAATAATAATCATAAGGCGGTTGATGAACATTGACAAGGATATGAGAAAACTGGGAGTGTGGCCGCGCTATGACCAATTGCAAAAAATCATTTATCGTCAGATTGGAATTCGAGCCATCGTATACTGTGTTGTAGTTTTCGGAGAGATAATAGCGGTAATACTCCTCACTGATCATTCTATTTTTTCAATATTGGCGAGAAAGTTATTGATGGCTATTCCGGGATTCATCAACACAATTCTGCATTTGGAAACAACAACTTATATTAAAATCGTACGAAATAATTTTAAAATACTAAACGAGAATTTAACTTCTTTAGAAAATACGACGAATGGGTTTTCGACGGATGGCATAATAAAAGTCATTAAGTTGCGCACATTTCAGGGAACAAAACTAAAAACTTTGCGAGTAATTTGCGCGATGCATCACGAGCTGTGTAAAATAACAGAAGTTATCAACGAGAGATACGGAAGAGTATTACTCTCGACATTTTTATACACGTTTGTAACAACCGTCGTAAATCTGTACCTTTCTAACACACTTTGGCGACGAACTTTAGTTGACCACAAAGAGATAGCTACAGTGGAATTAGTACTAGAATGTGTTATATGTATTTTCGAAACGATCTACATATGTCATATATGTCACAGTACAATTGAGGAGGTAGGCTGTTGTAGTGGGATCGTAACATATACTGACTGAGTGAGTTTTTTAGAGCAATAAATCTGGAACCATCATACACAAGATTGATACAGATGATAACGCAGTAAAGGACCAAATCGCGATGTTTACGCTTCAAATTGCACATAAACGTGTAGAATTTCATGCTGGAGGTTTATTTCAAATTAACTACTCCTTGATTTTTTCTGTAAGATGTTAGTATATGTGAAGTTTTCCATACTTATTTATTTTTTTAGATTATGGGTGGTGTCACTGCCAATTTAGTAATATTGATACAATTTTCAGCCAGCTAAATCTCTCGCTACTATTTTCGAAGTAGCATGAAGAGTTCAATTCCAAACACGTGGTTTTTTTTAAAATTTTGTATTGCACTTGTAGTCCCAGATGCAACACAAATAAAAAGTTTATTCCTAGCAGAGCTTCTATGGTGGATTTAATCATGTTTGTGAAGTCGAATTAACCGATTCTGAATTTTTATAAAAACTTTAATATCGCCAAAATTTAAATGGACGTGGCTATGGTGAACTAGGTTCTCACTAGCGTGAGGTTCCATTTGGTTCAAACCGGCTCACAAAGTATACTCAGTGACATGGAAATTGCAACACCAAGAAGGAGTTGGAATTTTTTGACCAAACTTGGCAGAAACGTTTAACTACCAAAAGGTAACAATTGATTAAAATTTCCTTCATATGGATCAAGTGGTAATGGCTTATTTGACAGTTCTTTAATTTTTTTCTAGTATTCTTATATCGTGTACGTTTTGCGAGATTTTGTTCAGTTCTTATTGTTTTTGCTTTTAATCGTTTCTTTTGAGGCTGTGATCATGGCTAGATACGCCAAAGTGGACGTTTACTGCGAATTAAGAGTAGTTGACAGGTGTCGTATTGTTGGTTTGGGCGGAGGTGGTTTTTCGTTCACAAAAATTGCAAGTCACCTTAACCGAAGTCAATCCACCATAATTCGTTGCAATCGGGCATGGATTTGGGAAGGGGCAGGATCGTCGTAGAGAGGAAAGGGAGGGGGCAGGAAAGGGTGGGGGGCGAAAAAGAACAATTGAAGTGCGGGATCGCCATCTTTGACTTATGGCAACAAGAAACCGATTCTCTAGTACCAGGTCAATTGTCAATCAATTGTTAGATAACGAAGGTCATCCTGTAACACTTCGAACGGTTTACCGCAGAATCAGAGCTTACGACTTGCAATCCTATCGGCCACATCTTTTGTTACCATTAACACCAATTTTGAAATATGTGGAATTCAATTAACGAATCATTCAATAACAATATTATCTTTATACAGGCCGGATCGTAATCAATGCATTTTTCTAGAAAATTTAGAAGAAGCCCTACATATTGTTCAAAAGCATAAAACTTTAATTTTATGCGGAGATTTTAATGTTAATTTTCTAAAACCTTCGCCGTTACTAAATAATACTTTAAATATATTAAATACATATGGTTTCACTACTACTATCTCAACACCAACCAGGATTGCATTTAACTCCAGTAGCTGTATCGACAATATTATTACTAACCTTCCAAGTACTTTTTACCGCACCTTCAATTTTTCTGTAGATTTCTCGGATCATAACGCCCAAATATTCATTATGAAAACTAATAGAATAAAACCTAGTCTATACTTGTGGAGACGTGTTATCAATCAAACTAATTTAAATTCATTTAAACACCACCTACAAAGGATTGACTGGAGCCGTTTATACACCATACACAACGTAGATCAGTTCACCAGTCATTTCTTTAAAATTATTCAACCTATATTTTTTAATTGTTTTCCCTTAAGGAAACATTACCTTGGAAAGAAAACCCGGAATTGGGTGACAAAAGGAATCCGAACTTCTAGTAAGGTAAAGCGGAAGCTTTACATAAATATGCGAAATAATCCTCAATCAAATTTCACTGATCACTTCAAGCGCTACAATAAAATATTTAAAAAAGTTATTGCACAAGCAAAAAAAATGCAAACTAAAAGAATTATAATGAATTCGAGAAACAAAATAAAATCCACGTGGCAAATTATAAATAAAAACCTAAATAAACAAACAAAAAAACTACATCTATTTCTTTAAACCAAAATGGCAAGGTTATTACTAATTCTGAACACGTTGCTAATATTTTCAATGACTATTTTGCTTCCGTTGCGCATGAATGTAGAAAAAACATACCTCCAACATACGAAACTACAAAAGTTATCCCATCATCACCAAATTCTTTCTATTTGCTGCCTGTCACAAAAACTGAATTGTTCAATATTGTAAATAATTTAAATAATACGTTAGCTTGCGGTCACGATGGTATTCCTATAAAAATATATAAAGAAGTGTTTGATGAAATATATCAACCTTTGATTTACTTAATTAACCTTTCTTTCTCTTCTGGGACTTTTCCAAGCCATGGTAAAATTGCAAAAATTAACCCACTTCACAAATCAAAATCTAAATCAGAACCACAAAATTATAGACCAATTTCGATCTTAAATTCCGTATCGAAAATACTAGAATCTCTCATAAAAGTTAGATTAATTGCCTTTTTGGAAACCCATAAATTGTTTAATAGTTCACAACATGGCTATAGAGTAAATAAATCAACTACCACAGCTTTACAAAGTATGTTACACTACATACGCACTGCGCATAATAATGGCAAGGTTGTAGCATCGATAAGTTGTGATTTGTCGAAGGCTTTCGATCTGGTTGATCATGACTTGTTACTGGACAAGCTATACTCATATGGCATTAGAGGCGTGACGCTAAATTTATTGAGATCCTTTATTAGTGATAGGTCACAATATGTTGCAGTTGAGCAAATTGCTTCCTCGGGACAAATTATTGAAGTTGCATCCGAATTAAAACCAATCAAGTATGGTGTACCCCAAGGATCTATCCTTGGTCCTATATTATTTATAATCTTTATTAATGACCTATTTAACTGCTTCGATCCATCTTCATGTGATATCACCACATATGCAGATGACACTAGTGTGAGTGTGGCTTGTGTTGAAGAAGAGTTAGAAATTAATTTAAAACGTGCGTTATCAACTCTTATTAATTGGTTTAATGCAAATAAACTTTTGCTCAATTTGGAAAAAACAAAAATTCTTCTTTATAAGAAAAATATGGGTTTGGATATCGCTCCACTGCGTTACCAGTCAGTTCAATTAGAAAGGTGTCAATCCTGTACCTTCTTAGGAGTTATTATAGACACAGAACTTAGTTGGAAAGATCACATTGACCATCTGAGAGCAAAATTACATTCATCGATTTTCGCATTGTCCCGTTGTAAAAATTTATGTGACCATAAAACCCTTTTGCAAATCTACTATTCAATATTTGAAAGTAAGGTGCGGTACGGTATCTCATTATGGGGAAATGCTACTAGTTATAGAATTGCTAGCATATTTAAGGTTCAAAAAAGAGCAATCAGGGTAATGTTTTCGCTACAGAAACGGGAATCCTGCAAACCGTATTTTAAAAACTTTCAGATTGCAACCGTCTATTCATTATATGTGCTTGAATGTTTATGTTTCGTGTTCAAAAACAAAAAATTATTTTCATTAAATTGTGATAACCACTCATATAATACGAGAACGAAAAATAACTTTTCTATAATGAGATCAAAAAGTAAGGTGCATAACTCGTCCTACCTACAGATGGGGGTGAGATTTTATAATGTCCTTCCGGCACATGTCAAATGTATTACAATGTTGGCTCCTTTTAAAAACCAAATTAGAAAAATTCTTCAATCAATGGTGCTATACACACTGGATGATTTCTTTACGAATATCAAAAATGCTAGTCATATTTAAAAAAAAAAAAAAAAATATAAATAAATTTTAATATATATACCTATTTACATTTCTTTTTTATAGATATATTTATATTATTTATTGTACTTTATTGTGTTTTTTATTTATGTTGTTATTGTGTGACAGTTACACCACATTCGTGGTTGAAATAAATGCTCTCTCTCTCTCTCTCTCTCACAGCTCAACACCGCTAGCAGCGTTTGGAGTGGTGTAGGTTGCGACTGCACTGGAACCTAGAGTAGCATTGGGTGGTGTTCAGTGATGAATCCCGATTTTGTTTGGGTATGCATGATGGCCGTATGAAGGGCAGCCGAAGACGTGGGGAACGTCGCAATGTTGAATTTTCTGTTATGAGGCATGTGCACTAAACTGTGGGGACTATGGTATGGAGTACCATAACTTATGGGAGTAGGGCTCGTTTGTTATTCGTTCGAGGTAATACGACCCCCCCAGCGATATGTGGATGACGTGATAGAAACCGATATTCTTCCATCTCTTCAGCAGTTGGAAGACCCACTTTTCCAGCAGGATAATGCCCCTCCCCACATTGAAAGACGTTCTATGGACCTATTTGCACATGATAATGTCAATTTCTTGCCATAGCCACCCAGATCTCCCAGTATATCGCCTATCGAGCAAGTTTGCGACATTATGAAAAGAAGACTGATGAACTTACCGCATCCTCCGCAGACGCTGCAAGCTCTACACAATGAATTAAAGGTTACTCACAGTTGCTTGGGACACAATACCTCAAGAGGAAATCGGCCGTCTGCTAAAATCGATGCTACGAAGCGTGAGGGAGTGCGTAACCAATAGGGAGGGACTACTATTATTATTAATAAAAATATGTTTATATTTCATCCTTTTTCTTTTAAATTTTAATCAATTGTTACCTTTTAGTAGCTAAACGATTCTGCCAAGTTTGGTCAAAAAATTCCAACTCCTTCTTGGTGTTGCAATTTCCCTGTCACTGAGTATAATATCTTACAGGGAGATTCACTTAGCCCGTTCGTTAGAAGTTTTTAAACTTGCAGTTCAAATAGAACTGGAAATTTGGTTCACAACCATAATGGATCATTGTGAATTGATATAAAATAATTGCAAGATAGCGCCGTTTCAGTAAATACCAGAACATACCATTTTCTATTATCTTTAAATGCTCCATTTATTCTGAATACACGCAGTTTAGGCCCATCAAAATGGATTATTATCGCTAATAAATTACATCAACCTTTTAACAAAAGTAATAAGTTGAAACAGAACTGTCACTTAAATAACTTAACAAAGCAAAATATATAATAAACGATAAAATGTCCTACATTTAACAATTCTAGGAATTAATCTTTGAAAAACAAACCACTTGGATACAACTAGAAACGTAATACTCGCTCCGTGTTTACACGCAAAAAACTTGATTAGGTAATTAATGACCCGTCATTAATTCAAACGTCTGGACCAAACAAACCACAACGTCCACATCGACATTGTTTACATAGCAATGTAGACTCAGAACGTTTAAAATCTATGGAGATGTCACAAGGCGTTGCAGCTTGCTTCTTCAATAATGGTTCTCTATCTTTCCTGTCGTTTCCTACGAGACACGGTAAAAAGTAATGGAATAACACAAAAAATAACAAAGCGTGACGTTAGACGATAACGTTTAGCTTCTCTGAACACCTTGTTTATATTTTACTATTCCATTGTACTGACTTTGAAAATTGGACTAAAATCACCAAGTTTGTGATTACACCACAAATGATCTGTAACAAAAGATGTTTGCATTATAATTTCACTAACTGTACCTACTGAAAAAATTAAGCCGTAGTTGACGGGAAATAGTCCTGCCGCATTTATTTCTGTTTTTTCCTGGGTTAACTGTAGAGAAAGTACATCAATCTGTTCCTTTACATCTTTACTCTCTGCAATCGATAACTGATGTATTAATAATCCAGACAGATCGATCTGTAAGATTCGGTGTTAACGTGTTACAATTTATACTGTAGAATACCTCATCCATCATAGAGTTACATAAATAACAGATGATAATTGCATCTACAAGACCAGGAAGGCAGTTGCACAAAACTGCAATTACTTGCATTTGTGTTTCATCCAATAACGTTATTAAATAGTACGCATCCACAATAACTAATATAAATGTTACCCCAAATAATGCAATAAAAATCACACCGAATACATGGTTGATAGTATTCATAATGATGTATAATCTGTGATGTAGAGGGACAATTATTTTCAGGATCTCGAGTTTAGTTTTCAAAAATGATGTAATCTCCAATTTTAATGTATCCGCTATTTGTTCATTTTTAAAATTAGACAGTTGCGACAAATATTTATTTAATATTCCATAATATTCCTTAACTGCCGAAATATATATGCTAACCAATAGGAACATAATGGAGCTTACAATGCCACCTAAATAAACTATCAGCCTCCAGCGAGTATGCGTCGACGCTGCTTGTCCCGTGATACTGATTCCAATTATTACCAAACGGAGTACTATTTGACAGTACATTTGCTTTTGTTTTTTTGGATAATAAATCCATATACCAAGCCGTCGGAGTTCCATCAGAACATCCTCCATTTGAATCAGTAGTTTGACATGATGAAATTGAAAGCGCACACTACAATACCATATGATAATCATAGAAATGAACGTAAATGCCTCTTGAAGTACCAAGATAATCATGCGAGTATCTCCAAGTTGAAATGTAACTATGCGGTGAGAGTAGAGCGCTGTAACGATAAGTAATAGTAAATATTTTGTGGCATTAACATGACAAGGTAATGGTACGCATTCATTTCCGTTGATGGTGAATCCCGTTAAACCTAAAATTTTACAAACTACCAGCAGGGGCTTTATGAACTTAAGAAATGTCATGTTCACTTGAATTTCGTTGTGGGACTAAAATAATCTCGCGGTTACTTGAATGAAAATGTGTTATTGTTGAATTTGTATGACAGTTAATCAATATCATCCACTTATTTTCTTTTTGTAAGTAATTATTTTTTCAATTTCAGACTATTGCCGCTCGATTTCTGAGAGCAAACTTGCTATATCTCCAAGGGAACTGCGAAGCGGCGATGGAGATTTTAAACGGTATTAGTTCCGAAGCAGATTTTGGTTCTAGGTAATTTTTGTATTACTATGTACAGGGTATGGCAGGTAAGTATAGTCTAATAAAATAACACATTTTAATAGACTTATGTACAGTGTGTCCTATTTTGGTTGAGACTGCGATGTATCTCATTTGTTTTTAATGATAGAGACTTGGGGTTTTTGCGACACAGTGTCCTTTTTTTGTGGAACGTTTAATACCGAAAACAGAACCAACCTAGCTGCGTTTGTTTCAGAGATACAGGGTGAAAACGAAAAGATTGACTTTTTGGGATGTTTTCGTATCTTACTACCCATGTAAGATAGACAAAAGGTAAAAACTGGTTCTTTTAGATATTTTTACGTAGAATCCAGTAGCGTAGTAAAAAAACTCCAAATATTTATTTTTACTAGGGCACTGGATTTTCCGGTTAGAATAGGCAGTTTTTACTTTTGTTTCTACCATACATGGGTAGTAACATATGACACATCCAAAAAAGTCAAACTTTTGTCCAAGAAATAACCTCTTTAAATTTTGCCGCGTTTAACAAACACCCTATATATCACGGCGTAGCAAATATATTGTCGTATCATGCAAATTTGTTCTCAAATGAACAGTATTTTGTGCGTTTTCAAAATCGATTCTCTTAGTTTTTTTTGCAACTAATTATGGACAGTGATGCTTGCATCTTCACTATTCCATCCGTCTGCCAGTCCATCCGTGCTCAAAACATAAACGTATCGTTTGTCTATATTAGTGGGTTGCGCTGGAAATACTCACGTAGTAGTGCTTTTGGTTTACTTGTTTTATTAACTTAATCTCAAATTAGGTATTGCAGGCGATTTAATATTTCGTTATTTTTTCTAAATACTTTCTTTCTTAAATTTGGTCACCAAAAATACACATGTATCATTTCTTGGGCATCGGGCAATCAAAATTGGTCTTTTTCCTCAAGAAAATTGGTACACAAATAAGGATTTAGACCTACTATGGGCAATAGAGGACCAATTTCGTTTCTTGTGAATAGAGTAAATTCGAGGGTAGGATAGGAAATCAGCACTACACAAGGGGGGGGGGGTCGATTTCTCGGAAACGGCCGGTCATGCTGATGCAAGTTATAAAGCACTAAGAGGCACTAACGATGTGATCATGTACGGTCGTTAGTGCTTTTAATGACCATGTTAACTTCACGGACCTCTTCACAAGTTGTGTTCGTACGCCCCATAATATTGCAACCGATAATTCGCACCTTGAATGTTCATCAGAAAAATTAACGTAACCAATAACCTTAGGCTTATATCTTCATTGTTAAAATGGCTCAAAATGCATTTGGGCTTTTATTTTTAATAGTTTGTATAAACCCTTTCACAACTGATCTATTTGATGTTATTACAATTCTATTGTTTCTGTATTAGTGACGAGTCCTACAATGTGATACTTTACAACAATCTTGGAACAATTTATCACGCCATGGGTAAATACCATCTAGCTTGCCACCATTACCAAAAGGCAATAAAGGCGGATATAGAATTGATTCAAAGTAAGTCAAACGGTAGGTAAAATGTTATCTCAGCCATCTTGAAAATGCCGGTGTTGTAGAAGAAAAACCTTTGTATAGACTGGGCAGTTCAAGGTATCACGAATTAATATACAATTTGGGAATATCACTTCTGCATGCAGGCCGTTCAGCTGACGCATTCGATTGCCTGATTATAGCAGTTAGGAGGTACCATCGCAACTCGAGATTGTGGCTCAGGCTTGCAGAGTGTTGCATTCATGTTCACAAAGAGGTAAATTGCCAATGACGTAGCGCTTATGAAACTCCAACTTTTCAGTCAAATGAAATTGATTTTAACATACCAAAAGAAATGAAAGTGGGCGTGGAGATGATCGGTACGAAAAAGCACCAAAAGATTGTTCTCACAAAAAATTTATCAAACGACAAGAAATACAGGTGAGTCACTATTGGATGAAAAAGGTGTGGGCTCACAAAAACTTTTAGTGTGGAAGGAGAACCGTATGCTGTACCAGTACCTACTCTTGAATTTGCCTCTCTGTGTTTACGAAATGCATATCTTTTACTACCATCAGACACAACCTCTCCTATACCATTATTGTTAATACCGGGCGTAACGCCTCCGGCACCGCCACCTAGCCCGGGTCCTGCTCCATCGGTTCCATTATCTCCTAATTCTGTATCAGCGCTAAAAAATTCGATCCTGGCTTCGAGTGCATATGTTTGTTTATGTTTGGGGGACTATGTGTTAGCTTTAGAACATGCTCGCAATCTTCTATCTCAATCAAAATTATTAGGTGCTCACAGGTAAGTACAATGTTCTATGTTCCATTCAACAAAATATGTGTTGTAGGTTATTAGGTCATTTGTATGCAGCAGAAGCTCTTGTATTTTTAGACAAAATTGCAGATGCGCTCGAACATTTAAACCCCGAAAATGTAAAAGACATCGCATTGCATTTCCCGGTTAGCGAGATTTTAGATGAAAGCGATAATGTCGCAAACAATCCACCCTCAAGTATGGCACTGTTGCTTGTCTTCCAACAGTTCATTTCTTTTATTATTATAGAATGGTTCCCAACAAACCTAATCAGCGCACGCGCTGTAATACATTACAATACAGCTGTTTGCAAAACATTACGAGGACAATTCGATCAAGCTGATGGTTTATTCAAGCAAATATGGAAGGATTGCAGATCAAATTCCAAAGTTCCCGCCCGTTTAATTATGCTAGTAATATATATTGAATTACAGTTAGGTAAGTTGCCCAATTTTGGGATAGTTATTGAATATATTTAGCGCTAATATTTTTCAGGGCATCCCGACGTGGCACGATCGTTGATAAAAGAGTACTCTTAACAGTACAGAGTAAATGGTTGAAATAATTTATTTGTTTATTATATTTACTAATAAATGACTTTACCCATTACAGCATTGCCCACAATTAACAGTGAATGTTGGAACAAAAATAAAGAAAAGTGTAAAAGAACAAAGGAAAAATCGGATAGGTAGATAGATAGAAGTATTATCAATTCCGTAAATCACTAAAGAAAAAGGGGTTGTATGCTTTAATGAAAACAAACAAATTAAGATACGACGATTCTCCTATAGGAAGTCCGTCTCTGATTCGGGCCACAATCTCCAATATGCATTTGCCCTTTGTTAAAATTCCCATATAAGGGTACATTTATGTTGGCGATGAAAGCGGAGCGACGTTTTGCAAAATATAATATCCATCCTAAAAACCATGATACTACCAGATGATCTTTTTTCTCGCTCTTCTCGATGCACTTATGCGTATTTGCCCCCGAAAAATTTCACTCAAAAAATGCACGTTTTGATTCTGGAATTTCGAGACAAATTTCTACACATACGCGAAATAAAATCTCTCATACACATAACTTCGCTAAGAATTCAATTTCAACACACTTAAAATGGCGTGCGATGTACCAACCATAGCCCTCCTCCTCGACTTCTTATCGTGATCGGGTATATTCCCTTATACTTCAAGAACAGATTGTCGGAAAAGGGTACTCACAAAACAAAAGGCGATTGAAACTTCTGCAAGAAATATATCCATTGGTGATGTCAAAACAAAAGCTATTTCCGTTAAAAAAAATGTGCTTTATCTGCACAAGAGTTGTGCACAATTTATACTTGTTTAAATTGTACCTACTGAAAATGTAATGCCAATGAAAATGTACTAAATTTAATTTTTTTGTACTAAAATACGCAGCATAACTTCAAGGGTACAAAAAATTAGCTATAAATTGTCATGAGTCATGAGATAACACTATAACCGAACGAATTACTTTCTCAATAGTAAAAGTTAACTGAGAAAGTAAGATTTAATTTTCTAAATCGTGGGGAAATGATAAGCGTAAACGCTGAATCCACGCTCTGACTGGTTACCACATATTTTTCCTTGTATTTTTCTATGTTCAGGTTCAAAAACATAAATACGTACTTATCAATTTTTTTGTAGCCAAAATTCATACCTAAATTAATATTGTTATCAATACGTCGTATCATAATGGGGGCCCAGCAAAAAATTTCGCACACAGGCCCGTGGCTACGTTGTTCCGCCACTGTTCCATACCATATTATTTCCATAACCATTCCGTAAATTATTATACCTAGGAAATTGACCTTTAAGTGATATGTGCGTAAGACATTCAGTCGCGCGCTAATACACATTGCCTTCCATATGTGAACGGAAAGCAGAATGTGTAAGCGCGCGGCTAATGTCTTACGCACATATCACATAAAGGTCAATTTCATAGGTATAATAATTTATGGAATGGTTATGGAAAGGATATGGTATAGAAACGTTATGTATAGCATTGACTTTATACACTATAGACAAACGGAGAAACAGGGAAAAATGGCAGCCGCTACTGTAGCGAATATTTGCGTTAAATAGGCAACTTATTAAACACATTGCAATGTACGTACTAATGACGTCAAATGGGACGACATATGAACGCAAGCAAATTTATGACGTTTCATTCGTTTAATTTTTGATTCTGTACATTTTTGTTTGAACTACTTAGTATTACAAAGACCATTTACAAAATTTAAAGTTCTTACCAACAATTTAACAGATATGGCCGATGCACAGCGGTTTTTTCCTAATTTCAAAGGATTTGTGTCAAATTAATAGTTCCTTCGCGTCATTAAGGTTTGATGTGGTTTTCTGAGAAGCTGTTCACATCGTGTGCAATTAAACTTTTCGATCGCAAAGTAGATCAACTCACTCTTCCAGTAATGTACCTAGTGTTATCAACTTCAATGTCCAAGATGGAGTTTTCTAATGACGACTGAAAAAATGCAGAAGATCAACATGATGGCGATTCTGAACATTTCGTCGAAGCAGATATCATCCACTTTTTCTTGACGATAGTATACTAACTTTTTAGTTTAATGTGTTCGAACTATGCTGAATTTATATCCTGTAGTGGATTTAGATGCTGAAATCCATTCTTTTAAGGTAGATATTGCGGGCAACACGATATTTTGCCTCCAGAAATTTGTGAGTTGCCGGAGACTTGTAGTATAACTTTATGACAAACTCCTTTTCGTCTTGATGCCATGGAGGTTTAGCTTTATGCAAAATTTGCGTTCTTACTAATCCGCTCTTATCAATGTCAATACCTGTCACTGTGCATGCACTTGTAGGTACAATTATTAATAACGTAATAACAACGATAGTGGCGTTGCGACGATTTGGTGGCCCAGCTCCATACTAACATTTCCAGCTCCATTTGTGTTGCCATTTTTTAAGCCTACACCGTTTGTCTATATAGTGTGTAAAGTCAATGTGTATAGTGAGAATCAACCTTTATTCTTCCATACTTCATTTTATACTCTCTCGTATTAAGATTCTCGCCCCACGAACTTAGTTTCAACAAAGCCTTCATTTTGAGAACCATAGTACGTCAAATCTATTCTGACTTCTTTAACAAGCGTCTGTAAAAGAATATTTTAGGGACTTGCCTTCATGAGTCTAAAGATAAATTATAACAATAACAATAAACGTCTGTTTTAAATGTCTTTTATTTAGGTTCTATATAAAATAATTACTGGTGCCCAACATGGGCTAAACAAAACAACAGGCTTCTGCAATACAAAAATATGTTTACTCTAAAGCTAAAACAAAACAAATGAACAATTCAAGTTATTACTTAATAGTCAATTCCACAGCCACATTCATATTGCATAATAGGAGAAAGTTCCTTGTTTCAAGTTAACTTAACGCTATCACACAAAAAACAAACGAAATAACAAATATACATGGTAACTTAACATAATATAATACTGCGATTCTACTATAGCAACAAAACAGGAATCTATAAGTAACTTAACTTTGTTTACCATTTCAACTTAAACGAAATAGGAACAGACTGACCTCTAATTACCAAAGAAATAAAATACAAAAGGATTACGTTACCATGTGACAACACCTTTTGCTGAATTAAAGAAGTATTCTTTACCATTTAAGTACATGGCACCATGTTTTAAATTCAACCGCCACACATTTTTATGGTGTTTAATGTTGACAAATTGACACCAGATAAAATTCTTTGCTTGAAAAGCTGAGCATACATCTTCCTCATCAGTCACATCATCATTAGAGTCAATATCGGAGTTATACCGCACAGTCTTAATTGGTTGTGTAGAACTATACTTCGTACTTGATTTAAGTATAAATCTCGCACCTGGAATCAATTTTTTAAAATAGAAACAACTAAAAATGAAATGATTACCAACTCCGTCCACTTGAAGCACTGGTTGTTCATAGTTATTGATATAATCCTGTAACAACGATGTTGCATCAACTATTGGCAGGTTGTCACTATCTATTCTTCTTATGATTGGAGTCAAAAGTTTGGTCCACTTGGAGCCTTGAAGTGCCCATGGTGGCACTTTAATTATGCACGTAAGTTCATCCTTGGTAAACCCATCGCGGGGTGGCAACGCAATTTTTACTCTCTTACACTTCGAGATGTCTGTTCGATTTGCGTAAGGATTTTCATACTTGTAACTATATCTCTCCACTTCAAGAGGAAGATCTATGTCGTGACCATTCTGATTACGCTTAATGATTTGTGTACCACTGTCCAGTTCTTCCTGGATATCTTTGGGTTCAGGGACTAAATCGGTGGTTGGTAGGACAGAATTCTGTTCGGTGCCACATAAATCGATCTGTGTTGTGGTCGAATTTGATACCTGTGGCACATGAATTGTAATCAAATTATTGACTCTGTTTGTGGTGATAATTCGGTCATTTTTAAGTAGCTTATAGTCTCTTCTTAAACGAATTGGCTTGGCTCGACACAACTGGGTGGAGGTGTGTTCACCTAAGTTCAAAATGGAGGCAAATTCCTCACAGTTAGCCATTGCTAAACTGCCATTTCCATTTAGAACAACTTCTTCTTTGGTACTTAACTGAACCTCGCTTTCATTCAAATGTTTTGTTTTCTTCTCTAATGCAAGATTTCTCACTGTGGCACCAAGACTGTTCCTAACCAATTTAATGGCACGCCTGTTAGATCCAGCGTTTACCAAATAACTGCAAGACCCTCCACTACTCCTACGGCGAGTTAATTGTTTCCGATTAAACCTGGCACCATTATATCTCAATTTTCCACGATTCACTCTCGGAAAATTCCCATTAGTCCTAGTAGACCTTTCCCCTTCATCAACTACCTTAAGCTGCCTAGGTACTGATGTAGGAAGATTTTGGCATAAGTCTGAAGTCTCGAAGGAATTATTTTCCAACCTTCTGTTTACCTCAGATAAATAGTCTCTCACACGAATAGACTTCGAACGACATAACAATTGGAAGTTGCCATCTCTCTTCAATTCTGAACTTACATACCTATCACAGCAATTGGTAGTTTCAGGTGTACCGTTCAAAAAAACGCCTAAATCGTGGGTATTTACTGCAATTTGTTCTTTTGTTTGATCTGATGCAAGCACCTCCTTACATCGACTCTCAGTCAAATTGTCGCATTGTTCGTCTCTGTTTGTATTACCCAACTCTTTAGGGGTAGTGATAAAATCCGTTTCTTGAATGTCACAGTTCAAATCTAGTTTATTAGAAATATCACATTGGCCATCTATATTGAGTTGTTCATTTAATTTTTTTCTACGCATTTGAGGTCTAGTATGTGTCTTATACAACGCCCCACTTCTTAATCGTAAGCCACTATGCTGTCCTGAATCATTTCCCAACTCCTTCAGCCCATACGTCAATCGTCTTCTCTTTTTACGTTTTTGACTGCCAATTTTGGTGACTTGGTTTGTATTTTCCTTGGTATTTTCTGCTGAAATCTGGCTATCTTTTTCTGCCTGTGTAGGTAACAAAGCGACCACACTCATTTCATGTGACGTTTCTGTACCTGTCTTTGTTTGAGCGTCATTTAGAATGCGAGTCCAACTAAAATTTGGAACCAGTGAATCAGGTTGAACACTTTTATCTATTTCATGTATATTACTTTGCTTAATAACCTCTTTACTCCTACTAACAGTACAACTGTCTGATGGACAATTCAACTCACACGGAGTCTGTGGTTTAACATGCTGCGTATTCTTACGCCGACGAGGAGTGCGAAGCCATTGTAAATCTAGGTTGCACAGACCCCCAGATCTTAACTTTCTATTATATGGGATTCCATCAGTTGGAATAGTCGCCTTCTTTATTCTTCTTTTACGTTGAACACCATTCCTTAATGGTACTGAGCTCACACACACTTCCTCTCCATTTGATGTTCTCAAATGTTCAGGTAATGATTCAGTCTTTTCTGGACCCGGAACATCACTCCTTGATGCCGTTAAGCTAACATCAGCTTCCTCTCCAGCAGGCTTTATTCCTAAGGGCGCAGGTGGAGGTACTGATTCATTTTCACTATTGTCTGGAAGTACAGATCTTCTATTTTTCAAAGTTGCTCGAGGCGAGTTATGTTGCTTTTTACCTAAAAGTGATCACATTGTTTATTGTATACCTTAAAATATGTACAGGGTGGTCCAAATTGGACACTTTCTTATGAACACCCTTTATTTTAAAGAGACAGTCATGGGCGCAAACAGAATTGAGCTGTCTCTAATCGTTTGGCCGCTAGGGGGCGTTTCTCGAATTTAGTCGATTTCTTTAATACCCCATAACTTTCTTATTATTAAAAATTGAACTTGCAAAATCTTTCTTAGAGAACTTTTTATGTTGAATCCGTGGCGGTACAGTTTTAATGGTTTTTCTTATAAGACTAATACATTTTTTCATAGGACAACCCTATCTATTTTGATGTATCAGTTGTTATATTTATATTAAATATTATTTGCAATATTGCATTTTATACATTAATAGTTATTTAAGCTACAAGGAATGTAGGAAGCATTAAGCTTCGAGGAATATTATTCTTCCAAGAAGGTTAATAGCAACTACATTCCGTTTTGCTTATTATATTTTTCGCGCTAATGATTACAGGTGCATACAAAACTGTTTTTATTAAGCTTTTGGTATACCGGTAAATTTATTAATAAATTTCAACATTTCTGTTATTAGTAGCAATAGCCATGACTTTTGTTATTTTATAATCCTTATGTTCCTACTTACCGTGCACCACCCGGTATACATTACAAGAAAAATTATGAAAGTGATGAATATGTGATAGAGTGTGGTTTCTCAAAATAGGTTACCGCTTAAGAAACATCGTGTACTTAAAAATTAACAATGCATTACTGAAACCCCAAAACAAATAGTACCTATACCAATTTTTAGATGGCACACATCGATGACAAACATTTAAAAATACCTACCCTTTCTTTTCTTTCCTGTTGATAAATTTGTACTCCTTCCTTGTCGTTTATGAGAACCGTGTCTGATGACACCATTAGTAGTAGACAAATCTTCTCCAGTTGCAATCACCCCATTGGTAGAGTGAGTATGCAAACTTCTCTTTCGGGAATCAAACATGGCCGACTTTCTTTCATGGAACCCGATTTCGGGCATACTTCTATTAGTTACCTTGAGGAGGGGTTTACAACTGTACCTAATAACAGTCTTTTTCTTCACAGTTGGAGTCGAGGTTAGGGTACTTCTCTTCCTTTTCTTTACTGTAGATGGGGCTATAAATGCTCTAGCTATAGAAATGGAAACAAGTTTACACTCTCATATCCTACCTTTCTCAAGCAAAATTCTATCGAGATCAACATAATTATTTCCATTCTTCATCAATTTTCTTAACCATAGCTGCTCTAGTTGCATTAAAATCTCAGGTTGGAAGCCACTCTCCGAGAACATTGGAAAACAGCTTACTACTACATCACTAACTAATTCTTGATAGACTTGAGGTAACTCCATTATTTACAAGGTATCTATCAAATGTACCTAGCATATAAGTATAGTTTATTTACGAGTTAGAGAAACCTGAGGGCTCTTTTTATCACAGTGCCGTGTGTAAATAACTATCATAACTTAATTAAAGCTAAATTATAACAAAACTACGGGCTATTTTACTGGACTTACACTTAACGAAATTACATTTTTGTTAGGTTATGTTACAGTTTAAATTACGCAGTTTAGTTTACTTTCAAGCTTAGAGCGCCACTTGTTGGTTTACTATATACAGGGTGTTTCGCGCAATTCAAACATATATATAATTATATATATGAATTCAAATTATAATGCAAGGTGCACAACAACGTGCTGAAATGTTTGCTTTAATTGTACATGGTGTGTAATCAATGTTATTAGCAAAAACACGGCTCTTTATGTAACTTTACTGTGAGGTAGCTTAATGGAAGTATAGCGTTTACATGTCTACGTCAAATTGGCAGGCGTTTGACAGTCGGGACAACACCGTCGTTCTCAAAATAATCGAGGGGATAAAGGAGAAACTATGTTAGGCTGATCGGTCTAAAACTCTAAACGACTTGACTGGGGCATATGACTTTCGCCCAGGTTTCGGTATCAATAGGTATACGTATTCCAGGGAAACCATTTCCCTTAGTAACTCACATACATAGTGTGGAGGCTAGTAGGTCAAGGCCAATTATTGTAGTAGAGCAGGAAAGATTATATCCATCCCTGGGGATTTATACGGATGGAAAGTTTTCACTGCCCACCAACTTTGGTTAAGTTCACTGTTTGTCGAGCGAAAACCCTATCTCCTCTGTTCCTCCTGAGACTTCCAGAGTAATTGGTTTACTCGGGTCATTTTGAGCGAGGTCTTTGATCCCGGAAAGTGTGATTGAAGCAAAAGCTCCAAGGAACCAGTTCTTTGTTCCTTTTTGTAAGAGTCTTTCGAGTCTGTCAATTTCTGGAATTTCCTCGCAGTACCTCCTCCGCGAGTCATTTTTTGCCTTTCTTATAGTCAGTGAGTGTGGTTCGGTATGAATCCCAGTACCTGTGGTTTTTTCTTTAAAAAGTTTTTTCTAGTCTGTGCCCGCAATCTCAAGAGTCTTTCGTGCCACCAGGGCATTTTATGTGCGGTTTTCCTTTCCTTTGTGGGACAGCTTGCCTCATGGCCATGCGAAGGTTTGATTCCATAATCTCCAGTTCCGCCGAGCTATTGACTCCTACGGGGGTTTAGCAAGGTTTAGCGCGGCGCAGTTGGTTTAATTGGTTCACTATAACCTTTCTTAGATCTCTATTATCTAAGACTATAAGTATTACCTACGTATTTATTAAGTATTAACGTCATTGTCAAAATCCCACGGTCGACGTTTGTGGCCAGGGTCTAGTGGGACAGTGTAGTTAATTCCGGGACAATCCCGGCCATGTGGCAACCCTAAATTCAGTAGATGTGAGGTCAGGTTGCCTAGACCCTCTGGGTTCCTGCCTTATGTTGTATTCAGCGCGCTACCGCCTACCCCGAAGAGCTTGTAAGCTCTACAGTACTAGGTACTTGGGAGTTGTTGTATACAACGGGGTGGCGCCCGGCGGCGCTGCGAGTATTTTAAAACCTAATCAGCTCAGAACTCTTTCCATCTGCTACTTATTTAAACAATGCCGTTATATGTACTACCATTGTTTAAAATGGTACTATATACATATGATGAGGTCACCAAACTCTATATCGCGTTGCCTATAAGTAGGTGAAAAATACTTTGGATCATAATTCAAACTTGGCCTTTTAACCGTTGATTGAAAAATTATCAATCAACGAATGTGTGAAATAACAAACTACCCTACTAGAGGCGCTTTCTTTCGGTGATCCAAACGCGTTTGGATTGTCAAATCACGTTCTTTCAAAGTGTGATCTTATAATCATGATTGCTAAAATCGTGAACAAACTGAACATAAAAGTTTTATGATCACGAATTCCTAACCTATAAATGCAAGGATATTTTTGCTCAAATGTTAGGTTAGTCAATTTTCGTAACTGAAGAGGAGCATAATCGTGCAAGTACTTCCACTTGTATTTAAATTATTTTCATAATCCAAACAAAAAATACCTAATTCGAATGAAAATGTCTACTTTGTAAACTTAACCATACTTTGATTTAAATTCGCGCGTTCTTTCGTAAAACGTTATCCTACGAATCACGATCTCGAAATCATGATTGCGAAGTAGTCGAAAGAAAGCGCCTTAGAATAATTACAATTACAGCGAAATAGTGATCACTTTGTCAAAAAGATCTTCCCTCCTTCAATCCTAACTACAAAGTAGGCAACACGTCATACAATATACATGTAATGCCCCCTTGTGTAGTAGACATGTAATTAATAAAATAGTAGTATTGAAGCAACCTCGCGCTTACCTACATTGATATTTGTTAGATGTCGCTGCTGCTAATATTGGCTTTTGGAGAGGGGAAAACGAATCGGTAAACTGTTTTTAGATGTACGAAAACACTTCGCGTTGTAGTAATGGTGGTTCGTTCTCTAATTCCTGTTTACAATTTCTTGTGATTATGAATTAAAGTTGGAAAAGTTATGTGCGTTTTGGCATCGAAAGGATTCGGCAGTGAAAATCGCGACGTTTAATCGATCAGAAACGTTATACAAATATCGAGTGTTTGTTTTGATAGCGATGACTTCACGTCGTTGTTGTTTTTCGCAGTAAAACGTGTACCTTTTGCCGCGTTTGATAATTTCGATGTCTTAAAGTGTCGTGAACAATTTTCGGAACGTTGCATTTTCGTTGGTAACTATTTCTTTATCATGGATGCCCCAATAGAACGCGAGCACGGAGCCTTAGGCGGTCTGTTTCAGCAAATTATTCAGGACATGAAGGTAAGGGCATAAGGGCGAGATTTCCATTTCGTAATCTATAAGAAGGCATTGTTGTTATTTAATCGTACAGCTTCCGTTAGTTTAAATATCATACGGGTTCACCGATACAACTTCGAACACCTGTGTGCAAATTTCAAAAACCCGTTTTTACACACACATTTTTTGCGGTTCTCAAGGTCATATTATGGTAAAATTCACATTCATTAGCTTTTTGGCACACATAACGAGCGGCGGCGACAAGGTTATCATATCAGATGCATTTATTTGGCCGATACCCAAATAAAATTTAAACTAGTTACACATTCTTTTATAACAGTAAACGTGTGCACTCGTTTCCGCTCGACTTAACCAGCTGCTTTGTTTTCGATTCAATCAACGCCCATCTCTTGGTTTAATTTTTATTCAGAAAAACCGGAACCGCCAAAATTATTGTAATATTTCAAGCTTGGCAGTCACGCGATAGAAGCTGCATTAACACCTCGATTAACACAAATTTTAGTAATACACAGTATGTTCCAGTAGCTCTATTTTTACCATAGATTAGAACCGAGATTAGAGTCGTATACAGAGTGTAACTGTATACGTCCAAAAAATTGGGTGGTAGGAGACCAAAACAATTATGGATCGTTTTTTCTCAGGGACCCATAACATATAGAAGGGTGGAGTCTTCATCTATAATTATAATGTGCCCCTTTTAATTTTTGTAAACGAAATTCCTTCCCCGAGATGGTGCACTCCTAAACGAAGATGCGAAGAAAGTGTTTGACTTTGACCCTCGGTTTCACCCATTAAATTGCATAACAAAGTAAGTGACATATTTTTGCAAAAATCTATTTTTTGCTGAAGGAACAAAAAACAAATATTTTTCACATAAATAAAGAGCCGGGAACAAGGCTGGAAAAAGCATGATTTAAAAAAGCGAGCAAATTGATGAACGTGACTTTCCTAAAGTTTATTTTTCTCTTTATTTTTAAGATCTCATAATTGTACCCTTAAAACCACCCAGAGACGAAACAAACCTTTACACAAATATTTTCCATATTCATTTCACATTAAGTTTGTGGCACTTCCGGTTATACCGAGTAAACTGGAGCTCCCGAACGTGTATGATTAATTTGGATTTCTCGAGGGATTTCTTAAATTTTTGTCGATATTATTTGAGCGAGGATTCAATTAGAAATTAGTAAAATTAATTGTCTGTGTCGAAGTGACATTTGTTCAAAAAAATTCTGAAAAATCCGTCTGTTCAAAGTAATCCCTCGAGTAATCCCCTTTGCTATTGTAACGTGAATTTAATTAAGTGCTTTATTTAGTTACATTAATTGAATTAATTAACAATACATGTATAACAGTCTTGAAATGAATTACTTTATAACCGAGTTTATAACAGTTAAAATATTATTTATCATCCACATAATATACAGAATTTATGATAGCGCGAACTATTTATTACTTGGGTTGGGTTGGGTCACATCCGGCTTCGTTCTTTATCTTTCATGGCGCCTTAATGTCTATCGAGATCTCTGGAATATTTGGTACACTATCAATGGCGGTTCATGGCTGGAAGCATTTCTGAAAGGATTCTTTCGAATGGGAGCTGCCTTGTCGTGGCCTTGACAATCAATATCCATATGTGTTATGGCGCTTCACTTTCGATACAGCTCTTCATTCGCACTCGAGTTTGTGGGGAAGAGCGGCATTTCGACGCCGTTTCAGTTTGTTATTTGCAACGTTTTCAATTAACTACATGCGAAATTAGATCACTCACTAGTAGGGGGGACTTTGTGACCCAAAGGCCGAGGCTCATTCTTCATTTGACTATAACCGAGACTATAGCTTTTGTTTGAAAAGTGATTTTATAAAAAAACTGCATACTTCGCATACTCGCATACTTATATGTAACACCCTGTATATTCTATAGTATTTTAAAATTTTTGAAATGTCCGTCGGCTTCTCGGTCTGCCTTAATTGCCATGATGGATACAATTAACAAAACAAAATCTCCATGAATCCATGGTATACTTTGCCTGTTATTATTTAAAAACCGTAAAAAATAAGGTTTTCATTTTTGGTTCATGGCTAAAATTGAAAAAAATATAGGTTGTGTACATCAATGCAAAAAACATTCACGTTATGATATACAGGGTGTTCCAGGGGGTGTTCCATTTAAAAATACCAACTTTGGATCAAATTTCAAGAAAGGTGGTCCAAACATTTTTTTGACTACGCCACAGGATTCTATGTTATAATGTCTAAAATAGGCCGTTTTTACCTTTTTTCCGAGCTTTTTCCTATCTTACATGGGTAGTAAGATATGATGATATTC